AGGCCGTGCAGCTCCTGCGCTTGCTTGCGCTCGTCGCGGACATGCTTGCGGTCAAGGGGTGCGCAAAAAAACATTTACGGGCGAGTATATCAGCATTATATGCAGGCCGGGAAGATGTAAGTCTCCGTTGTTGCCCTGAGTTTTAATGTTCCGCTAAGCTTCATGGTCCGAGCTGCACGGGACGCCGCCAGCGTTGCATGCAGTGGCCCCCACTGCCTGGGCACCACTGTGGTGGAGCGATCGCGGTGCAGCACGCTGTGCGGGGTGGCAGGAACCGGCCTTCGAAGGATATCAGCGGCAGTGAATTATATTTCCATGCTGGGTGAGCCGTGCAGCAATATAGTATTGAAATTTGGAAATCCTCTGCGGAAAAGAGGCGCAAAAGAGGATTGGGACGGATGCGTCGAGGTGCTGGTTTGACCGGCTGCAACGCAATGGTTCTAGGTGGCCAACCGCTTGACGGCAACGGACATTCACGACCATCGTCCTTGTCCCCCTACCATCACGGACCGTGTGAAAAGGATGCCGCCTTTGCATTTTCTTGTTGGGATTGTTGGTGCATAAGCCGCAGCATGGAAGATACGGGCCCGGTCATGATCCCGTAAGAATTCGAAGACGACGCTCGATTTTTGCTGCTGCAGGTCACAGAAGTAATTCAGTATCTAGCGCATTTTGCGGCAAGAAAAGGCTATGTCGGCTGTCGGCTTTCGATAAACTATCACGGCGCCGGGAGTGCCGTCCGATGCGACTGCTCGACCTCGTCGTGTAATGAGCGGCGCCGCGGCGGAGGGGTGCGACGTGCTGTGACGCAACCTTAGTCTTCGCGAGTAATTGCAGCGCCGGGGCGGGCCGGGCCTGCACCCCCACCAGACCAACGCTCATCCGCTCGACTAAGCGTGAGGGGGTCGATACAAAAATGCAGCGGTACGGTTTGTTGGACACCTTTCAACCTTCCAGGCGTCCGGCGTTAGGATGCTCCGGGCAGCTACGAGAAGATCGAGAAGATTTTCCCGACTTGATGTGATTCGAGAAATTATGCGAAACTGTAAGATCGGATAGGATAAAACAGGAAGCGCTATAGTGATGACACAGCTCCCGCGGGCTGCCTTCCGCAGACACGAGGCTCGTGACTACTTGCGAGGCTGGCAACGCCCCGTCGCTCATGCTTGTAACGAGCCCGCGGTCAAAACGCATTTTAGCACAGTTTTTCACTTATGTCGCGAGCACTCGGAGGAGATAATTCTAAATTTGGTACATGTCAAGCGAAGTACGGTATGTCGCATGCAAATTGCCGTACACGTCACCTTGCACCATACGTACCCATTGTACCGTTCCATGCGTACCCCTTGGACCCGGCACATCCAACAGAGCCTTACTCTCGAAGTTAAAAAAGGATTGACTGTCGAGACTTTCACAAACTGTCAGCGGCCTCCAAAACCTTTCAGGTTCGTACATCTGCCGCGAAACAAGCAACAGCAGCGAGATTCTGCAGAAATCAAACAATACATGTGCATCATGCGGCATCATCATCACCAAAGTGAAATCAGCGGTCAATCACTGTTTCAAAAACAAAGTTCAACCATGTTGAGAAAGTCAAAACATCCAAACCTCAACCATGCAGGTGAACTCCAAAAAAAATATGGGAAACGGTGTTTTCTTTTTCAGTGCTTTCGTCATGACATCGGGTAGGTTATCGTCGGTGCTGGTTTTCTTGTTGTTGTTGTTGTTGTCGGGGTCAATGCTGACATCATGCAACCATGACGAAGGCACCTTGTGTTTTCGTTCCATGTACTTGAGGACATTATGCGCGTCATCGATTGCGGCAATGCCTGTTGGAGAGTCAATCATGATGTTCACTAGATCTCGAGAGCCCAGCCAGGACCTCGAAACGATCTTGTACGTAGATCCCGTGGCGCTGGATTCTTCAAATGCGATCTCGAAACTTTTGTCGCACGAGCGAAGCTTGCTCAATGCGGGCTGGGCCGGTTGCTCAAGCTTCAGCCCATGTGTCATCCATGTCGGGCGAAGGAGCTTTTGTTTTTTCCGCTCCTTTTTGTTGTTGTACTCCGCAAACGAGGTCCGGTAAGTCAGCAAGTGAATGACGGTTTTGGCACAGCAGCGGCAAATAAACAAGCTTGCAGGAACACAGACAACACATCCTGCAGCAGTTGAAAACAATATCCTTCCCCCGCCACAACAGCGACAAGACAAGACACGCCCACAGCAACAGCCAAAACCACGGCCGACACCCGTCAACTTTGCACTTTCAATCATAGGAGGTTGGCGCACGCCTGCCTTCTATAGTGTGTCGTAGTTCTGCCTGCCAAACCTTGCACTATACATCATAGGAGGTATCCATTCGCGTGCCTTCTATCGTGTGCAGTAGTTCTGCAGGGAGCTTAAATTGGCACGGCACTGCGACTGGAAATTATGAATAGAACAAGTTGAAAGGTGTGAACTGATGTACATAACCTTCTGGCACTTCTTGACAATTTTGTGCATGTCAATTATATGCACTTGCGCCATGAAGGATGCTAATTCACTTGATTGGTGTGGTGGAATTAAGCGGCATTTTGCCAGGTGAAACTATATTGAAAGGAATTTCCGAAGTGGTTTCTCAGCGCCTCGGCGCTTCCTTGCCGACTTACCTATGCATGGACTGGCTGATGACCAGCGAATCACAACCCCTGAAATCGACGGGCAATTCACTGCAGTATGAGACCTAATGCCCTGCTTCGCGTATAATACCATGCAGGAGGCAAAACAAAGGCACCGGCAGCAACAACAACAGCTAAAGCAGCTGCATTCCGCAACACCAAAAAACAAGCACTGCCGCCCCCGCCTCTCTCCACAACAGCAGCAAACAAAACAACAGGCACGATGCAGGCAGTCAGCTGCTCGAGTTTCGCAGGTATTCCCACCAAAAGAACGACGCACCGCGCCCAGACAACCTTAAGTGGCATGCGATCATGGCTTGCGCTCAATTTGACTAGGTAGCTACTGTTGAGAAATTGGAACGCCTGCCTGCAACATGGCCGTGGCCGATGGGGCGTATCAGATGCAGCCGTTGTACAAGCTGGCCATCCGGACGCTTGCGAACCATGCCCCTGGCCTTGCCGGCCTTATGGCATTCCAATATGTGGCTTTCAATCGATCTCTGAGCGAGGTCTCCCTCCAGGACGGCTCTGTGATGTTGTGGTGTTCGGCTTTTGCCATCGCGGCTTTGTCTTGCACCGCCGTGATAGCGAGCTCGTCGTTTTTGCTTGCCGACTACTTGAGGCAGATTGCCATTGACAAAGCCATGTTCCAAGGCTTCGGGCTCCAACTCCCAGACAAGAGCATTATTCACAACAACATCGGAGTTTGTACTCTTGTTCTGGCCTTCGTCAACTTGGCAGTGTTGCTCGTGGAGCTGTGGCAAAGTGTGCTGTTCAAAGGAATGCCCTTGAACGATGTGCCTTTGGAAGGCATTCAGCGAGCATTGCCCTTGGTACTGTACCTCGTGAACCTGGCTGGACTTGTGCAGTCGCCCAAAATTCGATGGCATGAATGTCAATGGCTCATGCAAAACCCCCGATCACTTCCAACTTTCCTGCTGATGGAAGGCCTTGCCCATGAGCAGGTTCAATCTTACCATTGGAATCAGGGATGGATATTCCAGGCGAGCCGGGCTGTCCGTCCACCTCCAACAAGGGATGAAGGCATCGAGCTCACGTCTCGCAGCGGAACCGTTGACGAAGTTGCCCCAGATTTGGAACCTGACGTGTCTGACACGAGCTTGGCGGACCTGCCTTCGCTGGTAGGACAAGTCCCTGCCCTCATGTCTCACCGTCGTGGTGCAGCTCCCATACACTTGCTCTTGGTTTTTGTTGTCCTAGTTTTCCTGGTGTATCTCCCAGCCGCAATGCTCCAGATCTACAAGGCCTTTTTCACGCCACAGATCAAGAACTTCGAAGTCCATGGAGGCATTTTCCGCGAGGAGGAGCAGGGCAAGGTGACCTTCTGGATCGTGCCGGACGAGGGTCAAGACCAGGTTGTGGCAAGCTGGACAGATAGCTTTATCAGCCGCTGTTTGGGTGTTGTTGGTACTCCAGTGTATGAACCACATCAGTAACGTATAACGAGTCGATTTGTTTGCTTGCCGAATGTACTCCTACACCCCGTCACCAGAACGAGAGCCTGTGCGAACATCATAAGTATGATAAGCAACTGCTGCCATTCTTACCCTATCCACTTTCCCTCCGATCGAGAGAGAGAGAGAGAGAGAGACAGACCTTTCCCGAAGAAGTGCTGAGAGTGCTGGACCCAGAGACTGGCACCACTTTTCTGAATATTCCGTTCTCAAGGGACTCCTGTGTGTGCGTGTGCGTGGTAGTGTCAACATGCACAGCCCCAAACTGTTCACGGCGGTCCCAGTGCACTTCCTTCGTTCTTCCTGCTTCCGGCCACCAGGTGGTGTTGCGCTTGATTGCAGACACATCAACGGCCAGCTCGTTCTATGTATGTCCAGGCGACAACTGTTCGGAGCCTCTGCGCAGGAAGGCGACCATGCGGCTCAACTCCCAGCAGCTCACCATGCAGCGGACGCACGAACACTACGGCATGCGGAGCTCGTTTAAGCTCTGTGGATTCTTTACTCGCATCGTCTACGTGGCCATTGCAGATCTCGCGAAAGTTCAGATCACCGCTGGGACTATGAGCAAGACTGCCGTTGTGGCCAGCCTTCCATGTTTCGGGGTAAGTTCCGGAGTGACAGCATCCAAGGCGAGACCGTGAGCTTCGATTTAACGGCCGACCGGCGCTTAATTGATTTCGATCTTCGGAGATCGATACGACGACGTCCAGCCGCGCACAGGGAGATTTGTGCAGAGTCTCTTCTGGACAAGTTGCCTGCAAGGTCGCAGATTTTCAGCAGTGGTGTGGGAAGGCCTGTGATCTCTCGGTGGAGTTGTCCATGAAGGTTGGCACGGAGGTGGAGAAAACCTTGAGGCTGCTGGTGGATGCTGGTGGAGGTTCGCAACACGGAGCTGTTTCATTTCCAGGAGGTTTTGGACCTTCAGCGGAAGATGGATGCCAGCGAGATGCCAGAAGAGGTATTGAGTCTTCGACGCGCCAGGATCTCCTTGCTCAAGGAAACTTACGACGTTTACAGGGGTCAGCAGAAGAGAAATGATATGCAGCAGAAGACCATCCTCTTGACTGGACTCACCGGGGCAGGCAAGTCGGCGGCATGTCGCTTCTTGACGATGAATGAGTCTTGCAGGTATTCAAACAGCTGGAATTCTCACACGAAGAATGTTTCTGAGATCAGCGGCCATGCCTTCGGCGATGAGATCCAACCTCGACTCCGCCTCTTCGACATCCCTGGCTTTGGTGACACGGAGGGCACAGCCGTGGACGAGAGACAGTTCAGCCAGACCATCAGTCACCTGGCTGACGTAGAAGGGCTGGATGCAGTCTTCTGGGTTGTCAACGGAGCCATCCGCCGCAAGCTGGGCCCGCGCCGGGACATGTGGCGACAGTACCGGAAAGCATTCGGTTCCAAGCTTCTCGAGAAGCTCCACGTCATCGTCAATTTCGTGCCGTGGATGCAGTACATCAGTGAAGAGGAGCTAATGAGCAAATGGATCGAGGAGTTCAGGGCATTTCTGGTTTCAGAGGAGCAAGAGTTTATGCAAGCTGCCTGGGAGTTGGTGGAAGACCGAGCAAGGGGACTTGTCAGCAAAAGCCTCAAAGTTCGTATCGTGGACATGAACCCCATGTATTTGCAGGGGGATCTTCCTGTACCGCTGTCGGCACCGATGGTCAGCAGCCTACCGCTTTATTCCATGCCAATGAACTTGGGGGAGTTGCTGCAGGCAGTGCTGCCTGCCCGCTCCGTGGCTATGGGGAAGTGGACGAGGACCGCACGAGCTACAAGACCCAAGCAACCAGGGATGGCGCTTTGATGACGGTGAAGCTGCAGGGTCAATTCCTGGGCAAGGGTGACAGCCTCCTGGCGCAGTCCACCAGCTTCGGGTGCGGCCAGGCGCCGGCTCAGTTTCTCGTTCTGTTGAGCCACCGTTACGAGGCTGGCAACGCGACTGCAAACACTGCGATCTTCGAGGCTGTGCTCCTTACAGGGTCACTGATTGGCGGGGAGTGAGGCTGTGCTTTCGCGAGTCGCCGCCGGAGCCCGACCCGGAAGAGGATTGACGCGACACTGCCAAGAAGCTGGAATGGTGGAGCTTTCGGAGCATGCACGGGCTCACAGCGACAGCTACGAAGTCGTTCAGACTCTGCAGGAAGCCCAAGGAAGCATCAATGCGGTTGTGTTTGCTGGCCATCCCGATGTCCTGGCAGCTGCAGGCGACGACAACACGTTGCGGGTCTACAAACCTGATTACTCACATGGCGGAAAGTATATACTGCGAGCGACTCAAGAACGGCACAGTGGTATCACTTCATTGGCATGGTCGCAGCGTGCGCAGTATCTGGCGGCCGGCACTGTTGATGGAATGATCGTGGTGTATCGCCTCATCCATCAGTCTCTCGAATTTCGTTACTCCGTTCCTGCGACAGGCGTAGCATGGTGCGGTGAATTCCTGGCTGCCGCCAGCCACAGTGGGAATGTGGAGTTGTTCAAGGTCGAAGCGGGCGAGGGAGGGTTCCAGCTGAAGCTTTTCCAAAAATTGTTGAGAGGTGGTGCGGCGCAGGTCACTGCTGTTTCATGCGCAGATGGGAGGATCGTTACAGCGAACACAGACTCTCACGTGCGTGGGTATGTGTACGGTGGTCTGACGCCTATCTTTGAAAGAACCGTCCCGGGCGTCGAAACTGTGGCTTCGTGGGCGAGATACGTGGCGCTTGGGAGTGTTGATGGGAGCGTGTCGTTGATCGATTTCGCACTGCAGGCCCAAATGTACCAGACCACCCGGAACGACGCCCATGAAGCTGTCCTGGCACTTGCATTGTCTGATGAAAGGCTTGCTGCAGGGAGCGCGAACGGAAAAATCTATGTGTATAAAACTGAGTACCTTCTATTGGTCTCGGTGCTGAGTCATTCCCTGGACCCCATCAGAGCATTGGCGTGGTCGTCTGGTCATACTCTGGCTGCTGGAGGCAACGACTCGAAAGTGCGCTTGTATGAGCTAGCAAAGACTGAACGGGTGGGTTTCAGACCTTCAAGAGGTCTCCCTTTTAGCCAAAGGCCGCCACAGGTCCTCAAAGCCTGCATTGAAGCCCGGAGCCATCAAATTCTATACTCTATAACATTCCAGGTAGACATGGCTGAGCACCGCCGTTTCGGATCCATTTCCAGCCTGCCCCCGGGCCCCAGAGAGTGAATCCAGGTGGAAGTAGGGACCCAAGGATGCGAGACAACGAAACTGACCCCACCACCGAACCTCGAGGTGATGGAACAGCTTGGCATGCTTCATACCTAAAGCCGCCCAAGAAACCCAATGCCAAGGAAATCAACCCTCTACCATGCAGCATTGATGGGGTCAGACGGGTTGCTGGGGCTTAGATCTTCGGATTGCCTTGCAGAACTCAGGCTTGAGAGACCCAGAGACTCCAATATCCCCTAATTGCGGAATATACCTTAAATTCTAGTAGGATCCTTAATACAATTTCAGGTATACTCCTTAACTAAGGGATATTGGAGTCTTTGGGGAGAGGTTGGCTTGAGCCCACCTGGGACAGTACTGGTAGGAGAGATTTCCAAAGGACCAGGCCGCAGCCCGGCTGCCGCATCTTACCGCTCAGGATTGTTTAAATCGATCCCACGCGAGCCGTGGTTCGTGTGTAGAGGTGGAGGGATGGGACGTGATGGGACAGATCTTGTTCAAGGACGTGCGTAAGCTGACCCAAGCTCTCAGCACATTCACAGCAAGGCCCAGGTTTACGGAGAGTTTGCGGGCCATTTCCCACGCAAAAACCGAACGGCCCGAGTGTGCTCGGCCCAAGAGTCAAAGGCAGCTTCCAGACGTTCTGGACCGTACTCGCAGCTCGAATGGGATGTGAATCCACCAGAAGCATGGAGCCCCAGCCGGCTGAGACCAGAGGCCAGGCGAGGGAAGGGTGGCAGGCTTTGAGAAGTACTTCCCCAAATGAGTTCGACTGGCTTTTGCTTTTCTCGGAAAGTTGTCTCTCAGTGAATGTTCAGGCGACGGGAGCTGTGACACCGAACTGCCAAGACTGCTGTCCTCCAGCCCGCAAGCGGTCCAGCCGAGCCCCGTCCGGAAAGACGAGGACCAAGAGCCAGGCCGGTCCTCAGCTTTTTGCGGCATGTCAGCTTCGAGTCACCAGAGCTCATCCTCAATTTTGAGGCTTCACAGGGATTTTGCAAGCAGACATCATGGGGAACTTGAGCTTGAGCCTTCTTTGCATATTCATATGCCTCCAAGAGAAATCTTCGGCAAACAGCAATGCCAGAAGGATCCGTTTCGGGCCAGTCTGCTTGAGAGGAGGTCGAACCAGGTTTGCACGAAATCACCGGGGAGCCTCATGCTGCTGCGGGCAGCAAGCCCAGTTTCAGCAGCGTTTGGGCCCTTAGCGGAACAAATCAACCCCGAACAGACAGAGACCCCCAAAAAGAAACTCTCAACCCCTAAATGCCCTAAACCCCAAACCCTAAACCCCGAACAGACAGGAGGCAGCGACGGGGAGCCAGTTGCGCTGCGGCAAGGGATGGAGGGAGATCGGGCCGAGGCAGGGGCCCGCTGCTCTGACCGGAATAGGGTTCTACAAGGGTTCTGCAAGGGCCTTGTGAGGGGTCTATCAGGGCTTCATAAGACTTGCGTGACTCGTTCTCCCTTTATAAACTACAGTTACTATGCTCCTTGATCCTTTGAGTAGAGCGCACTACCCTTGAAACCCTCGTCCTTCGTTGTGTTGCACCTCTGCTCGACTGCTGGACGAAGTCTGGCTCTGCATAGATTCATCCATGCATGATTGCATGAGTTCGGTTCCAGGGATGACGGACGAGCTAATGGGCGGCCCATTGATGGGGGGGAGGGTGAATGGAGACGTTCGGGATTCCCCTGAACCCTAGGCAAAAACCTTGACACCTCTCTAAGCCCCTAAATGCTTTCCAGCGGGCTCGCCTGGAGCGCTGTTCTCGGCAGGACGTGCCGGGAAGGCAGGACGTGGCTTACGGTTCCCGGGACGGTTCCTGGCTCTGGCCCTGGTGTTGGCCCTCCCTCTCCTGCTCTCCCAACTGGAGCTGGGAGTCCGAGATCTTGCAGGTTGGGGTGGCACTGGGTGGGGGAGGGGAGGAGGTTTTAGGTCGCAGCCGTGTTGGGACCCTGTCTGCAGGTCGGAGCAGAATTGGAGCAGAGGCTGCGAAACCCGGAGTTTGTGGCCACATGCTGCGACTTGGACGGCTCCGGACGCTTGGACGTGCACGCGCTGCAGCAGGCGGCGCGGGCCTGCGGTTTGCGCCTTGCGCCCGAGAGGCTTACGGAGCTGATGCAGTCTCGACATCTCATTTCCAAGCAGCGCTTTGCAGAGATCGTGGCATCGACTCCCGCTTCGGCTTCGCGGAGGGTGCCCCATGCGCTGCGTGGCATGGCTTTGGGCCAGCTGCTGCAGATAGAGGAGCTCTTCATCAAGTCCGGATGGCTTGCTGCCCGGTGCGCCGCCTCGGAAGAGCCCAACTTCTACGCGCTGGACTCCCACGTAATTTCCCCCATGTGCAAGCCAGGCAGCTGTGCAGCTCGAAGCCAAGATCGCCATGAAGTCGTGCCTCCAGCTGCTCGGATCTTTGAGAAAACAAAACCTTGTTGTAAGTTCGCGTCACGTGGTTGCGCATTTGGTTTCCCTGGTTTTCTTTCTGCAGAATAGTCTTGTGTCCTCTGTCTCGCTATGTACATATATATATATATATATGTAATTATACATATATATATATATACACATACACGGAGTATACTAATAAGTATACTGCCTACCCTAGACTTGAGTCCAGTAGCAAACAAGTACACTGCCTGCCTGCCTACTCTCTCTCTCTCTCTCTCTATCTCTCCTTTTCCTTTTCTAAATATCTCTCGATCTATATGTATGTATGTATGTATGTATGTCTATGTATGTAAATGTATATATATATATATATATATATATATATATACACATACTTGTTTACTTCATTTAGCTCTATATCTACATATATCTACATATGTCTACATATATATATATATATGTACATATATATATATACATGCATACGTACATATCATGAATTATGTATATATATATATATATGTATATATTCATGTCTATGTGTGTATATATGTATATACACATATGTATCCATCCTTTCTATGGTGGTCAAAAGGCAAACCTCGGCGCATGAAGAAGCGCCCAGGCCCGCAGGCCCAGCTCCTTCTCCGAGCTCCTGAACGACAGCGGTCTGATGGTGCACTGCTTCCTCTCGCATGCCTGGGGGCAGCCTTGTAGTTCCTTGGTGGCACCCTGACTCCTTCGGCTTGGGCCCTAAACCCTATAAGCCCTGCCGAAAAAATGCCTCGCCTGGATTGCCCGAGTGTGAGCGCCGAAACGGATGCCTTGCAGTTTCAGGGTTTCGGGGGTTCCCTCAAGGAGTGCCAGCTGTAAAATTGGGGTTTCCGGCGGCCAGCAAGCACAGTTTCAAAAAGAGTTCAGGCCAGGCTGTAGGCTGTAGTAGGTTAAGGGAGTGTGTGTCTGGCTATACCAGGCCTGCTGCAAAAATGGTGCTAGGGTTATAGGTCCTCCCGAGATGCCCCGTGCTTGAGTTGCACACTATCTCCGGGTTTGGGGTTTAGTGTTCCTTGAGCAGAGGGGCTTGGGTATCAGTGCGGCTAGAAGTAGCAAGAAAGTGTTCATTCGGGGCTCCGTTTTCGCTGAAATCCGACTGACCCAAAGTTGGAACCGTTGCGCCGAAGCCCCACGCCAAGTCCGTTCAGATCACAAGCCCTCCTGGATGCCGAAACCTTAAAACCTTAAGTCCTAAAACCAATCCCCGAAGCCTTACATCCCAAACGCCCTTAAGCCCTAAGCCCGTGAAGCTCTAAACCCCTTAAGGCCTGAACTCCTAAACCCCTTAAACTCCTAAACCCTTAGGCCCTAAAGCCCTTTCGCCCCAAAGTGCTAACGTCCTCGCGGATCCCGAGGTGCGACGCTCAGAGCCCTGCGGATTTGGGCAGAGGCGCGCCACCAAGGCGTTGAGGTCCCTAGGTCGGAATTAGAAGCTTACTTGGAGGTTCATGGGTAGTTATAAGTGGGGTTATAAGTCCCCCCAATATGGGTTATAAGTACAGTTGCCCTACTTAAAAAACTACTTATAACTACCCATGAACCTCCAAGTACTTAGGGTTTAGGCCCTGCTGTTGAGGATTGTCCGCCGGCACACGCTGAAAAGGGGTTTGGGGATGGATTAGCAAAAAAGGGATGGATTAGCAAGGAGGCCCGGATGCAAAAAAGAGCGATGTCGGGCTGTGGGCATTGCAGTCCCTGCTCAGAAAGCCTTTTGATGCGTTATGATGCGTTTAGGAGTCGGATTTAAGAACTGAGAGGGAGCCGGGGGGATAGCAAGGGGGGTCTTAGTAGTTTAATTGCTTCTACTACAGTCGCCTTGCCAATAACCCGTCAGACTTACTAGGTCCCCTGATTCTTAAAAAGTTACTTGTTTATGAGGTTTACTCGGCCTCTGAAGAGAGGACTCTGGCTGCTTTTCACGTGGTGCATTGTCCTGACTTGCTGTGGGGGCGGGTTCCCGTCTTCCAGGCCAAAGCTCCCATGGCCGAATCAGAGCAGCTCAGGTCGGCGGGCCGCAGGCCGTGGTCTATTGGATCGGCCTCTTCGCGTTGAACCGGCAGGAGGCGGACACTGAAGCCCCGACTCAAGTCGTCTGTAAGTTTAACAGTTAGACTATAAGGTACTACAATAGTATGTAGTAGTGATTATTATAAACAGTGCCTTGAGGAGAGACTGCTGTCGATGGAGTTAGAACACCGGTTGATAGGTGTTTCTGTGCGTTGGTGTGACAGCCCGCTTGACAGCAAGCAAGGTTTCGATAGCCAAGGAACTTCCAGCATCGTCTTCAGGCCTTGCCTGGCTTTCATCGGGGCCTTCATAATTAGAAAAGGGTTTTGGTGCCCAACATACTATAATTATGCAGTCCGAGAGTGAGCATCAAAAATCATGCAACAACAGGCCAGGGTCTATAGCAGTGCACAGTGCTACACTGCACTATGACGTAGCTTTCTGGGATTTGACCAAGAGCTCGGTCCACTGGCTGCTGCCGCTGCTTCGACTTCTTCTTCGCGTCTTGTCCTGTTCCGGCTCCCGCACCCACTACTGCTGCCAACAGCCCTCGTCCGCCTCCTCTTCCTCCTCGTCCTACGCCTACGACGACTACGACGACTACACCGTGACGACGACTAGCACTGCTAATGCTCCTTCTGCAACTGCTGCCACCACTACTGCTAGTGCTGCCGCTACTGCTACTGCTACTGCCGCTGCTCCTGCTGCCACTTCTGCTGTTACGACTTCTGCGATTGCTGCTGCTACTCACTGCCACGGCTTGATGCTGCAATGCACTGTCACTACTACCACCACGATGGCTACTGGCTCTGTGCATAGATTTTGCAGGCGGCCGAGGAAGCGGACAAGAGTCCGCTGCACGAGCCCTTCAATGCAGCCCTGGCCCGTGCGAAAGCGGGTGCTCTTATGGTGCTTCGGCCTGAACCACCCCCGAAACCCCCTAAAGTAAAAGCCAGAAAGTTGGAATATGATTATCCTAAACCCTTTATGGTAAGTTATAAGGTATCCTACCCTGAAACCATACTCCAACTTTCTGGAGTTCCCTTTAAGCCGAAAGACCACCCGAACAGGAAGAAGGGCTCAGAAGAGATCTCGCTGAGGTGCTCGACGAGCAGATTCAGCCCTTCGGGAGGACTATTCTGTACGGTCACTCACTTAGACTTTCGATATAGAAATACAGAAGAGGAGGCTGTGGGGCCTGCGTTGTGGCAACCCACTAATTTACAAAGAACGGGTCTACAAAAACCCAGGCCCCAGAGCAACCTGCTCTCTAGAAATATCATAACCTACTGTGATAAGCCAATGATATGTTGTAATCACAATAGTCAAGGTTTCAGATTTTTCGCTTCAACAGGTCTTGCAGGGACCAGGTTCAGGGCTTGGCGGGTTGGCTTTTGTGCCCCCTTTGAATTTCTAAATTCAAGAGCATGAGCGCTTCCTGGGCGAGCTGACAGTATACGACCGTCCTTGTTCTCACGAAGCCCATCCGGATTTATGGAGCTTGGGTTTCAAGGTTTAGTTTACCCGTTCATGCACTTTGCGCCGATTCTGCTACTGCCAGGTTGGAAACACTACGAGAAAGTCACGAGAGGCAGAGACAGACACCCAAGGAGCGAAGACGAGCGGCCCGATTGAACCAGCTTGGAAGACCACCGACTGATCAGACAGTTTAGAGCTTGGGGATTGGGGTCCCCGCTAATTCTGGGCCACCTAAGGCCCAAGTTCCCCAGCTATAGACAAACAAGAGGATCTGGTGCCTCTTCGAACTTTGGCGGATCAAGGACCGGCCAAAAAGGAGTAAACCCCACAAGCCGTAACCCCCAGCCCTTCAACCCCGATGCCCTTCGTGAACTCAAGGGCTGTGATGGCTTTGTGCTGAGACTGCAGGGTCTACTTAGCTCGATATCCGGAGATGCGAGGGGAGCTTTGAGGCTCGACAGATGCTAACTTCTTCTGCCACCCTTGTGCAAACCAGCCAGTGTTTGTTCGCACCATACTCAGCACCCGAACAGGTGACCTTCATCATCAGAAGCCAACCCCCGACCATTGAAGCCCACAACCTCAACATACCGAATGTGAGTCTCAGTCTCAATCCGACACGCAAAAAAAATCCAAAGCGAAACATTAACCCCAAGACTTCAAGCGTTGCACTCTCTTTCAGGGCTAAAAACACTGGCCTGTAAGGAGACTCCTTGTACTTGCTGAGCTCAGCTCTGTAGGCCTGACATAGCTGGATCGGTCAACGAAGCCAGAAGGCTAACCGCACCCAATTCCAAAGTCAACAGATAGTCGAAATCCTAAACTGGAACGCCCTAGCTCCAACGCTTACCGTATCCCTACAAGCTCTATATGGTAGTTTCCGAAAATAGGGGACCCAAATATGGTACCCTAAATAGTAGGATCCTTATTATAAGGACCCTCAAATAAGGTACCCCTAATTTTTGGAAACTCCCATATAGAAGCCCGAAGGCCCCAACTTAAGATCTCTGAGTCTGAGACGCGGAAGAGAGAGGAGCTCCAGAGACCCTTTGAGCTGATCTGCGACCTGGGAACCCCCTCGCTGCTGGGCTCGCTGGGGTTTTTGGGGGTTGGGGGGGGGGTCGGGTTTACACTTCATCCGGCCATGGAGTCTGGTGCTTCAGAGGGGTTTGAGGCATGGGCTTTTGTTTTTTTTTTTTTGGAGGTTGCTTGCCCCCTGCGAGCTCTGAGTCTCTCTCTCCCTCTCTCTCTCTCTCACAAGATCGCTCTTTCTTAGAGCCTTAGACCTGTGCTGTAGCACGGAAAGCTCAAAAACGACAGAAGGGGCGTGGTCTGCCGATCGAACCGGGCAATCGGCAGAGGACCCTGTGTCTTGTCCGTAGTCTTGGTTTGGGTTGGCCAGGGTTTTCGTTGGCACACCAGCCCAAGCAGCGATGCAGACTTCCTCAACGCATCGGTTGAGAGAATAAGATCAGGTCGAACCGGGTGATCGCGGAACGTCGAAACGCAAGACTGGCAGGAAGAGACCTCGTCCGGCAGTCTCCCAGCTGCGAGAGTGTAGACTCCTAAGCCCCGCTTGGTCCGAGGCTCGACGACTTCGGAGGAGGCCAAGGCCTCTATCAGGCTGTCAGCAGGCTGCGGCGCGCCTCAGATGAAGCGCTGTCCGTGTCAGCACGGGAGGCGCTGTTCCCTGGCTGGCATCTTTGGGCGTTTAGGGGTGAGGGGGTCTATTGCAGGACTTTGCAAAAAGGGGATTTTCAATTTTCCACAATCGTGATTTTAGGTCCTCAGCGCCGGAGGACAAGTTCTGCATCTGGCGGGAGATCGCCGCTCCAGGACAGTCCTGGACGGACTGCCCCGATTCCAAGAGCGCGTGCCGGGACGCGGACCCGTTTGGTGATTTCCACCACAAGGTTCGGGGGCTGCTTTCGACGAGCATCTTGGACAGGCTTCTGGCGGGCGGCCAGTACGCGGCAGCCAGAAAGGGCTGCCTCCGCGGGGCGTGTCCGAGGGAGGACCAGATAGAACGGCTCTGCATGCAATTGACCAGGGCAGCTCGGATCCAGTGGTTGACCGACCTACTCCTGCTGACTCTGAAACAAGACAAAGATGGTTCTACAACCAGAATGCTGCTGGATCATGGGGCGGATGGAGCAGCTGTATCTGCCGCTGGTGTCCCCGTGCTCGTCTTTGCTGCTCAAGTCGCTGAGGATGCTGTGGTGCGAGTGCTGCTGGATGATGGTGCCGATGCAAAGGTTACAAGCAGGAGTGGCGTCACTGCTCTCATGCGTGCTGCCCACCGCGGCAATGCATCCATGACGAGGCTGTTGATTGAGCGTGGTGTGGATACGGCGACTGCCAGCAAGTCTAGCATGACTGCGCTTATGGCTGCAGCTCACGGCGGCCACGACTCTGTGGCGAAGCTCTTGCTGGAAGGCAGGGCCAGCGTGTCAGATGCTGGCGATGATGGCAGCACAGCACTTCTGTTTGCCGCCGAAGGTGGCCACTTGTCAGTCGCCAAGCTGCTGTTGGATCCTTGGGGTGCAAGACGTGTTAAGATTGAAGTTCCTATTGATCGGCTGAGAATGCTTGCCGCATTGTTCACGTAATTAATCGTTTTTCAGGAGCTTAAGCAGCCAAGGACGCAGGTGCAGACACAGCCGCCGCGACCAACGATGGAAGCACTGCCCTAATGGCCGCTGCACGTGGTGGCAACGAGTCTATGGTGACCATGCTGCTTGCGCATGGTGCCCTGAAACATGCCAACGATGATGGTGAGACTGCGCTTCTGCGTGCTGCTCGAGGGGGTCATGACCGCGTGGCCAAGTTGCTCTTGACCTCGAGAGCCGATGTCGCAGATGCGGACAATGGGGACGTCACGGCTCTGATGCGCGCGGCCCAGGGTGGTCGGACCTACCTCGTGAAAGAACTGCTAGAGCATGGCGCAGATGCCAACGCTGCCTGTAAGAGTGGTGTGACTCCATTAATGCAAGCCGCTCAGTTCGGTCACGACTCGACCGTGAAAATGTTGCTTGAGCATGGTGCCGATGGAGCTGCTGAAAGCAAGAATGGTGCCACGGCACTTTCGGTCGCCGTTCAGAACGGCCACGGGCCAGTAGTGAAATCCTTAGTGGAGCATGGTGTTGATGCAGCAGCTGCCAACAAGAACGGCGTCACTCCACTGATGCGTGCTGCTGAAGAAGGCCACGAGTCCATGGCAAAGCTGCTCCTGGAACACGGTGCCGACGCAGCAGCATCCAGCAAGGATGGATGCACAGCTCTCACGTATGCAGCTCGAAACGGCCGCAAGTCTGTGGTGATGCTGCTGATCGATCACGGTGGTCTACGCCCGGCGTGAGCGAGCTGATGTTGGCTTCTGCTGGTGGCCATAATTTGCCTCTACAGCCGCTGAGCGCAGGTGGTGGCTGATTTTCGCACAGTTTCTTCGGGCTTTCCATGTTTGGAGAGTTTTGAACAGTCGTCGAAGTTTGTGCTGCAATATCTGCACTTCCTCTTGCCCCACGACTCGCCACCTGCTCTCAGGCCTTTGCCTCCAGGTGGTGACGGTTGGATGTCTCTGCATCCTGTTGGGGTTCCGTAGTTCCGCATGTAGCTGCAGCTGCTTCTGTCTCCATGTGCCAGGCTGTGGAAACCGCAAACCGCTTGGGCTCGCTTTTCCTGACATCCCTCCACCGCCGCCAAATCTGGATCCCTACCCAAGAAACCGAAACATCATGGCCTCAAGAAGCTTCCATAGACTGTCCAGGGCGAACAGCGAGCTTGCTGCAGTACTACCGTGTGTGCTGCAAGTGTCGTTTTGGTCATGGTTGGCGTAAGCAGAGTAGCCAATGCTTGGGATGATTACATGTTGAAATGCTGTAGTTGCGGGATGCAAATACTGTGGTTGCTTGTCAGTATTCCCGTCATTGTAGTCGTCTGCTTGGTGCCTTTGATGGCTGTTGCTTCCTTGACCTTGCATAAGGCATCAGGAGCCATTATCATTATGATTGTTATTGTTATCCTGGCCTTTTCCAACCTGGCTGAAAGTTGTAATGACAATCATTAGAGTCAGCATTGTCTTTGTTATTGTGCGCTGCCCGGGCGACTAGAATAGGGGCTTACGGAAGTTGCTTAGTGTAATTTGTAGTATAATGGGCCTGAGGCCCCTTTCTTAGGCCAGCCCAAAACCCCGTTCTGGATCTCCAGGGTCTTGTGTTTCGTGAAAGTACGGAAGGAGTGTGAGACGAGAGGCTCTGCCGCGATCTGCAGGGCTTACTGCGTCTGTGGAAGAATATGTAGCAATTGATCACTTGCATGGGGTTGCTTGATGACAGAAAGACACACACCTCAACGAAGTCTGAGCACCACGGATATGTAGGCTCAGGTTGAAGCTCGTCTTTACAAGAGCTGCGAACTTCAGTTCAAAGAGTAGGCTGGGTATTCTAAAGAGCTGAGTGGAGCCCTCGTTTGTAAGGAGCCCCCCATATCGCAGTCTCACCAGCAGCGAAAGCGCAATGGCCGCTATGGCACAAAGTTCCTTGCGCGATCCTGCTTTCAATCGTTACGGAGAGGTGCTCCGCTTGGGCCAGGCGGGGACAGCGGAACGAACGCCATGTTGCTAGGTTTCTCAGAGATTCCGAAACCTGTGTTTGCACGTCTGTATGGTTATATCCATATCCATATCCGTATCCATATGTATGTATGCATGCATGTATGTATATATGCATGTATGTATGCACTTGTGTATGTACGTACGTACGTGCGCGCATATGTACGTATGTACGTCCGTAGGTAAGGTAGGTATCGGAAATTAGTACACACTCATGATATGCTAAGTATCCGTCAAGGCCCCTGTAGCAGGTATGGTGAATCGCGACTCCTAAACCCCAGGTCCAAAAACCCCAAAACCCCAAGCAGGACCGGCGGATCACAGAAACGGATGCCCCGACATTGGAGGTTCACGACATCCCCGCACGCAACAGCGCTCTGACTGCATGCTTACGTGTGTGGTTTAGCACCAGGGTCGAATTTCCGGTTGTGAAGTTTGTAGTTGCTGCCATTCCGACGGTGCTCTTGTTGAAATATCTTCGAATCATGACCCTAAACTCTTTGCCTTGAATCCTGAACGCTCGGCTCGACAGACTTGAAGCCATGCCAGCCTTGAGCGAGTGTGTGAGTCGAAGCGCTATCCCAGCTGCTCGTGTTACGGGGTGGGGGGTGGGGGGATGTGGGCGATACGGGACCGGCATAAGGTTTTGGGCTACAGCACCTCCGGGCTTCACGGAAACCCAGAACCCCAAAACCCTAACACCCCAAAGCGGAAATCAAGAAAGAATGCAAACAATAGGTTTGTTTGTATGAAGTATGAAGTCCGTTTACAATCATTATCTTTATCATGAGGAACATCCGCTAAACCCCAAAACCGAAATCCTGAACAGAGAACCAACTCTGAGGGTGGCTGTCGGGCACGGCCCCACAGTACTTTTCTGAAGCCCTGAAGAGGCTTTTTGCGTGCTCCGACTCGAGCAGACGAACTTTACGAGAAAAACCCAAACCCAAACTAAGAGCTAACCCCTACTCTAGAGACCCCTAAAGGAAGCCGTTTGTAAGATCCCTTAAAGGAAGCCCTTTTGTACGAACCCCTAAGGTCGCGCTCTCAATGCAGCCTGGGAGCAGAATGTAGCTGCGAAGCGGCCATTTCTCTCGAGTTTGTGGCAGGTGCACAAGGCGCACCGCTGTTGGATTTTGTGGGTTGGGGGGGGGGTGGGGGGTTTAGGGTTTAGGGTAGGTTAGGGGTAGGATCCCTGTGAGGTTCCGTGAGTGCAACATAGGTCTATATTCTAAGGGCTAGGTGTTTGTGCTTTCAACGAGCCGAGACTTAAACGTACGAGGAGCATTTAACTGTTGCACAGGAGAGGTCGTTAGAATAGTTGAGCAGGATTGCAGAAGCCGTGGCTTCCTAAATCCGAAGCCCACCGCCCAAGATGCTCTGAGCCAGAAAGATTTTCATTCGGGAGTCGGAAAGCATGTGAGTCGTATTTAGATCATCAACCTGAGTAGCTCAGGCCCGCATGCTTCCGCTAAGGGCTCTGAGAAGCCTGGATTGCCAGGAGATCGTGACTTTGATGACGTCTTGAACGTTTGTCGGCCTCGGGGAGTCAATAGTACCCTAGATACTAGGATCCTTATTATAAGGACCCCAAATAAGGTACCCCTAATATTCGGAAACTCCGTCAATCTCCTTCATCGTCTGGCTGGTCCGAGTTGCGAGAGCTTGAGAGGCGTAGCTGCACGGGCCATGGAGCTGTGACAGCTCCCGCCGAGTTCTTTTGGTATCATGTCTGAGCAAAGGCTGTGAAGGAGGTTAAGGGGGGGGAAGTCAGAGTTCACAGTTTAGAGGAGATTAGTCGACAAGGACTCGCAAGACTCTTCAGAAGTTACCATGTGGTCCAGCCTCACCTTCAACCGCATGAATCGTCTGAGCCGTGAGAGGCCACCCAAACCTCAACCCAACGCCGACACTTAGTGTTTCGGGCGTATGTTTAGGGTTGGGTTTAGGGTTCAGGGATGTTTAGGGCTTAAGCTTTACGCAAAATCTCTCACTCTGTAGAACCCCACCCTAAACCCTAAACCCCAAACTCAATCCGGAGGCCACAATCGTGTTGATGGGGGTCTTCCATGCCATTGAGCTCAGCGTTGGCTTCGTGTCTCCTTTGCTGATCCGGCCGATGATCGACAACTTGGACAAGTCGTCCATCTCCGTCGGCTTGATGTCCCTTTGGGTGATGCTAGGGTTTATGATATTATAACTATTATATATACATAATCAATATATATATATATATATATATATATATAATATATATATATATATATATATATATATAATATTAATATTATCCTACACTGCACATTAGGGTTTAGGGTTTTCGGCTTGATGTTCCTTTGCAGCCGAATGGGTGCTATTGGCATACCTTTCCCATGCAGCTTCGCTAGATCCCAGTCTTTGGGGTCCGTAGGGGGGTCACGACTTTTGTGAAAGTCCCGAATCGCTTGATATCAACGCCTTCCGTAAACCATCCTAGGGGCATCCGCAGTTCAGCAACCCCGCCCAACCACGAAAATTGTCTTCAAAGGATTCTGATATCTCTCGGAGCCAGAAACTGGAATCTCCACCAGCATCCCATGTGCTGTAGACACTGTAGATGCTGCACCAAGTTTGGAGAGTCTAAGCAGTCTAAGACTTGAAATTCTGAACCCGAAGCCGTAAACCTTATGCCCACACGTGCAAGCCAAGCCTCAAAACCTAAATACGCAAGCCATCGCAAGCCTCACAGCTCTGTGGCCATTTTGGCTCAAGAAGGCTCAAGTCCAGACTGGAAGCACAAGGCCCTAAGTAGCTCGCGACGGCCTGCCTGCGGCTGCCGTCCGACCGTTCAAGCAGGAGAACCCGAAATGGCCCGGCACCAGCGCTTTCGAGCGCTATGCGGGCTACAAGAGGTCCCAGACCCTGGCGGAGCCTGGCGGGAGGCACGAACCAATGAGGCACGAAACAAAGATTTGCGTTTCGACTGGGGGAACGCATGGCTCGGATGCCCAAGGCCAAAAGCGTGAAAGCCATGAAAGCCGCAAACAAGGATGGAATCCAGTTGCTAGAAACGGCCATGAGGCTGTGTACAAATGGCCGGGGAATCTAGATGCACCTTGGGCTTGAACCCATGGACAAACTTGTCCGTGCTGAGTATGATTCCATCTGACGCCCCTGGGTTTGCAAACGCAGCCTGCCAGTCATGAACTCTTCAGTGCCATGCCTTCAGTGCCATGATACCTAGCAGTTTGTGGGCTGCCCTGTAGCATTTCGCAGTCTGCCTATTTTCAAGCCGTGGTGCGAAGCTCACTGTCTGGGACTTGAGACAGTGTGGTAGCAAGCTGAGAAGAATAGGGCTATGGCTTGGCGCTTCCTCTCTGGGTGTGACTGTCTGGGCACACAAGTGGCTGCAAGAAACTGTGGAAACTTTTACAGAGCATTGACTGGTCTCCCACATCACTTGATGTGTGAGGAATGTTTGACTGAGCAATGACGTGGATCTGTCTCTGGTGAAGCTCGGGCAGTTGGGCTTTTGGAAAAGCTCCTGCCAAGTAGATTGGTATTTGCAATCACGAGTGAGAACACTTATCAATCTACACAGTTTGACGGCAGCCAGACAACTCGTTGCAATGCTGGATACCATGTCCTCTGAAGCCTTGTTGCTGCATTGTAATTGGTCTGAATGTATTCTTAATTAGCCTTCGAGACTTTGTTGGTGAAGTTACAGAGCATGGGTTGGCAATTCGTAATTGACTTGACGCTTGATGATCGGCATTTTGCTGAAAGCTGACGGCTTGCTGAAGGGGGAACGACCCCTTTGAAGTGCCTGCTTGAGTTTCCTTGGTAGGATCCAGAAGTGTGATGACTTGTACAAGACCAGTTGAACTCATTGTGACATTGTACCCTACTTCTTGTACTCAGCCATGCAGCAGGCAAAAAAGCACCATACATAGAACCTGAAGTCCTGCACCTTCCCAAAGAGTTGCCGTGGAAAAGCTTGGCAGAGTGTTGCATATTTAGTTTGCAGGCTACCTGTAGTTGTTGAGAGTTCCTCCAAGACAGAATGTCATGAATTCTTTCCGGGCTTCTCAAGCGAGAGACTCGAGATAGTCTCGAGATGCAGGAGCGTGCCAATGCCGTTAATCATCACTGACGCACCATGCTACTTTAAACAATGAAGTTTGAAGCTGAAGACCCCTAAATTAAATCCTGCACTTTACACCCCAAACCGGAACCCTAAACCTTCCATCTTGCACCCGAGCGGAGGTTCGCGATTGCCTTGGCGGTAGGCCCGGCTTTACAGAATCTTGGTTATGTTCGCGGTGCTCCTGCGGTTGAGGGTTCAGGCTTTAGGGGGTTAGTTTAGGGTTAAGGGATGTGGGTTCCAGGGTGTAGGGTTTGGGGGTGTCGTTTAGACGTTGATAGTTAAGTTTGAGTTCAAACGGTTTCCCGGGCGAAAAAAAGCTAGATACGTGACGCAGGCCCCAAATGCTCAGCCCTAGACAAAGCAGAACCTAAACCCGAAATCAATTTGTTAGCGATGACACGCATGGAGCTGCCCCGAGACGAGCGTTTTTTCGCCGTTATCTGTCGTCACGCTCGGTCTGAAAACGTCGGGTACAGTTGTTCGGCGTCCCAATGGTAAGGATCCTATTGTCAGGGGTTGTCAGGGGTCAGGGGTCTTTCGATCAGGGGGCAAGCGTGAACTCGGCAAAGCCTGGCCGTAGCACTGTGCCCTAAACTCTCTTTCGCTATAGTACAATATCACAAGCTCTTTGCGTCACCTTTTCGCCCGAGGAACGTGTGTGCTAACCAGTTTAGCTTCCTCGGGCGTCAAGTGGGCCTTCGGTGCATCTTGGCCTGTGGGGCTCCGGGGTTCAGGCCTTGCATGTCGTGCGATGATGTTTGGATCCGTGAATGGAGCAAGCAGAGCTGAATGGGCGCCGCTGCACCTGCTGCTTTCTTGCTGTTGCTTCTGCGGCGGCTATGCTGTTGTTGCTACTGCACAGTCAGGCCACCGTAACCATCGGGACTGTAAAAAACAGTGGCCCAATCAAAGGCAATTAGCAGTACCTATTTGCTTGTTGATGGATTGCGGGCAATCGCAGCGGTCGGCAGCCAGCGACTTCTATGCCACTAGTTACTAGTCGTAAAGTAGGAGCGCTCGGTTTTTTACCTTTCCGGAGCCTTGAGTCATGGAGGGCCCGCTAGCGAATCCGCCCTGCGGGTCCGGAATGACAGGCGGAGCGGCAGTGCCCTCGTGATCGTTATCGGCAGATCGCCGCAAAGGTGCCAGAGTTTCAGTCATCACTAACCAAATTGCAATCACTACCAAAAAGGCAGCCAGTGTTGTGACGACCGTCACAGAATCATTCTCCCCAAGAATATTCCATGATCTTCAGTATCCAAGGCAAGGGAGGAGCCAGCTGCCTCGTCTTTGACAAGCTCCTGGGAATGCAAGCCGGAACCACTATTTTGGGGCTGTTGTATGCTTTGGGCTGCCATATAGACTCCCAGGAAGGGCGGATGTAGAAGCCAGCTTCAGCGTCTTGTGCTTGTTGGCTGGTTGCCGCGAAGGTTGTTTGTCTTCGTTTCGGCGTCGCAACTACTCGTTCCAATTTCGGATGCCGGTGAGACCTGTGATGCTTCCTCTAGGGTAGATCGCATGGCGCGCTGTCGGCTACTGGTCCTCTGGAACTGGCGGCGGCGAGATGGCACTTTAGCCGTTTAACCCTCGCTATCTGAGTCGGGGTTCAGGTGGGGAGGAGGGTTCTCGTCCCCAGCACCTAAATCCGAGGGGCAACGAGGAATTGAGTCAGTGCCAGCCGCGACTGCGACAGGAAAATCTCCAAAGGCATCCCCCGTTTCAGGGCATTGCGAGACTCCGGATGATGGCAATGCAGAGCGAGAGAGATCCCCCACGTCAAGACAAGACACATGCACTCTGAGTCACAGCCCAAGCAGGCGACTGCACGAGAAAGCACGCGTCCGTGCCGCGTCCCCCCACCACGACAACTGAAACTAGGTGCTGGGGCGTGGGTAAGCGGCCTTCCACGGGGCTCTCACGAGGCATCAAGGCGACAGCAAAGGATGCGAGAGTGTGCAGGTTGCGGTCTCACGCCTCCAGCCCAAAGCATCGGCTCAAAGCCAGGATCGTGCGGCTTTCGCAACCGTCGTTCGCAGCCTACGGGCAAGGACTGAAGTGGAAGCAGACAAAGAGTAGGCTGATCTCAATCGCATTAGGACACGGTGCAGTGTCTTCCCGTACACTTGCTTGGTTGCTGCCTCAAGTGGGTCTTCAGGGTCGTCCGGATATTCCCTAAACCCTCAACCCTATGCAGGAAAGCTGTCGAACCTCATCCAGGTCGACACATCGCGTCTGCAGGCAGCTCTGTCTTTGTGAAGGGCTCACGGCCTAGGATCGTGGGTTCCATGTTTAGGGTCTACGCCCGAGTAAGCCATACACTCCAAGCCGCTAAAGCCCCAAATTCCAAAGTCCTACATGAGCAAACCCAGAGATTGCAAGAGCTGTCCCTTTGCTACTACTACTACTACTACTACTACTACTACTACTACTACTACTACTACCAACCACTACCACCACCACGACTGCTGCTGCTGCTACTACTACTACTACTATTATTACTACTACCACGACTCCTCCTGCTGCTGCTGCTGCGACGACTGCTGCTGCTTCTAGTGCTGCTGCAGCTGCTGTTACGACTATTAGGATGACGACGACCTCTGCTACTACTGCTGCTACTACTCCTGCGAGTGCGGTGACAGAAACTCAACAGCATCAGTGTCAACATTAGCATTAGGAACAGCAACATCAGGCAGTGCGACCTTTGTTAAAGGCTTTTGGGCCTTTGGGCATGCAGGAATACTACTCCGGGGCAAAACTGCCTGAAGCTTTACTAATGTCAATCCGAACTATGCTCGACCCGAATACACTATTGAGAATGTTCGGGACATTTGGTGTGTCGCATACCCCGAGAATGTCGGGAGTCTAAAGACGGTTACCATAAGGGTGTTCGTTCACTTTGAAAAATGGCGAAGCCCCTGGAAGCCACGCGCAGACGAGATACCCTCATGTATTAAGAATCCCTCTATGTTGGACCATTGAGATCCCAAGAAGCGCTGAAGGGCAGCGGTTGGGGTAGCGGCACACGCCAGCGAGCAGACTCAGGACTTCTTCTACTTCCTCACCTTTCTGTGGTCCATGCCGTTCATGTTCGTCATTGGTGTTTTGGTTAAGAGTTCAGACACATAGACTTCTGGCAGAGTGCGAAGCCGCATGTGATTTCGTTGCTCCCGGAGCGGACAAAGGTTAGCTTGCTCGCCAGCAGGAGCATATGCACTTTCCATCACTCTCCCATGCAATGACTACGGGTGCATCATGCAATCACTGCTTGGGACGACCCCGTTGAGGGTAGTTTGCTTTTAAATGAGCTGACTGTCCGACAAGTGCGGCTGGAGGACTAGTCAAACGAGTGTCATTATTGCAGTTAGTCACCCAACCCCTTGAGACTGGCTTTGGGAGCCAGAGCTAAGGCATGTCGCTTCTGTTCAACATGCTGAAGTGGGCGGCCTTTGCGCCTTTCTCAAAAACTGAGACGAAGCGACCAAAAAAGTACAGTCGCTTTTACCGCTTATAAGTTTGCTGATAAGAAGGGGGGCAAGTTGATAAGAATGACCATCATCGTCAGGATGCTGAGGCTACATACCCTGTATGCTTGTCGAATGCTTCCCTCAAACGCCAAGGATCCCTCAACCGAAATCGGAGGTTCAACTTTGGGGTGTGTATTGTTTGGTTCTATGATCACATTTACACTAGGATAGAGTTGTCTGTCTTGATCTAGTTGCTCCGCTTCTTGCTCCCCATGCTGAGCGGGAGGAGTTCAGATGGTTGCAATCATCACGAGAATCACATACACCAGGAAGAGTCGCAAGGCCTTGGCGGTGGATATGAGCGTGATGAAAGACGAATAGCATGAGGTCGATGGGTCAAAAGTTCTTGAGATCCAGGCGACCATTTATATCCTCTCATGCCACTCAGAAAACCCTCCCTTGTGGTGGATGTCATGATGCCTCGTGCGTGGTAGGCTCAGGTGGCGAAACATGTCCGGGGCTTTCCTCAGCTGCTTTCTGCATTTGTCACTCATCCCATGTGGATGCCGTGCGTGCCAGGCATCGGGGAAGGGATGCCTTGGACCGGAGTTGACGGTTCAGAGCTATTATATTATTATATTATATTATTATATAATTATATTATATATTGTATGATTGTATTGTATATAGCTTTGTTGGAGTCTGTGTCCTAAGCTTTGAGCGGGTGCCCTAGACTTACTTTTCCTTATCTGTGAGTCGCCACCATACAATGCCTAATGCTTCTTCCCGGAACCAAAGCCGTCGAACTTTCAATTGTACTATCCATTCTCTTCGTTCTGTTATTCCAATAAATTCCAATTATTCGTCTGTTCCTTCTTTTTACTTAAGTGTTGTTACGATTATTATTATCGTTACTAGTGTTGCTGTTTTTGCAGATGTGCCTGACGGGAGCCCGAAGAAAGGTGCCTATCGTCATCATGGTCGCCACTTACCGTTTCAACAAGCTGCTGACGAAGAGGCAGCAAGCACCACTTTTCGGTCTAGATCATTGGTCGCTCTTCTTGTCTTCCCTGCAGGGCCGGTGTTTGGGTGTCGGGTTCAGGGAAACCTGAATCCCGCAAAAGGCGTAGGCCGGGGCGAGAGTTTATAACCTTGATGGCTAAAGTCCCGAACCCCGAAGCCCGACACTGCAGGGCTTTCGGAGAGGCTTGTGTAGTTTAAAGCGTTGGTGGTAGCTCGTAAGATGTTTTGGGTTTGGGGACTTTTGCTTACAAGTTATTGGCTTGGGCTTGCGGCTCAGGTGTAGCGGAACGCCGTCGCCACTTGTGCCTGCCAGGTTGATGACGCTGTCCTCAAAACTCAACCGCGCCCGAGACGAGCGGGTGAAGATCGTGACGGAAGCTCTTGCTTGAGAGGGCTTTGAGGTTTTGGGCTTTGCGGCTTCGCTCTGTCTAAATCCCCGTCTAGTTGTCCATACACGGTTTGTGTTGCGAAGCGCAAGGGCTGAAGCGCGAAGGCTGGAGGGATGGTGAACATATATATATATGTATATATATATATATACATATGTACATGTTTGTGGTTGGGAGGTCGGGCAACCGTTGATGTGGTGTTGACGAATTAAATCAGTGATTATTTAGTGATTGAGCCTGTGATCGAATTAGTGAACCGGATCACGTCTGTGCGCGAAGCTGTGCTCAATTAGTGATTATTGATGCATGTCTAAATATTTTCTTATTAAAATAATGCGAAATTAACGAATTTCATCAGTTTTCATTATTTAAACCGGAAGATATTTAGAATTTATTGAATTTCACTAATTCTTCATTAACTTTTCATTATTTTCATGAGAAATTAATGAAAAATAATGAACTTCAGTAATTTTTCATGAAAATAGTGCATAATCAATGAATTTCAATGAAATTAATTCATCAATATTTCCATTAATTCTTCATTATTTTAATGAAAAGTTCATGAAAGTCATTAACTTGTCATCAAATTAAACAAGTGAAAAATTAGTTAATGTCAATGAACTGCACTAGTTAATTTCAATGAAATGCACTGTTTTTTCATTGTTTTAATGAGAAATTAATGAAAAATGAGTGAATTTTATAAATTTTCATTCAACTAATGAAAAATTAGCGAAAAAGCAATGAATTCCATTGAAATTCGTTAATGGAAAACTAGCGAATTTCATTAATTTTTCATTAAACTAATGAAAAATTAGTGAAACATTGGTGAATTTCATTGAAATTCATTATTTTTCATTATCTTAATGAAAAAGTATTGAAATTCATTAATTTTTTCATGAGTTTCTCATTAAAATAGTGAAAAGTTAATGAAAAGACTTGATTCGATACATCTAAATCAATAAATTAGTGGTTCGATACATCCAAATCACTATTTATTTCACAGATCAGATCACTATTGAATCACTAAATTAGTGCTTCGACGGATCCACGTCACCAATTATGTCGCAGATCAGATCACTATTGAATTGAATCACTAAATTCATGATTCGACAAATCCAAATCACTAATTTTTTCACAGAGATCAGATCACTATTAAATCACTAGAAAAAGATTTCCGGATTTCCAGCGGTTGCCAGCCATGGCTAACCTTAGGTATATGTATATGTATATGTACATGTGTATTTGTGTATATATGTATATACATATATGTATGTATGTATGTACGTATGTATGCGTGTGTCACATACAAGCGTATGGCTGAAACTTCTGCTTCTACCTGCGCAACAACAACAACTACTGCTACTACTGCTACTGCTACTGCTACTGCTACTGCTACTGCTACTGCTGCTGCTACTGCTACTGCTACTGCTACTGCTACTGCTACTGCTACTGCTACTGCTACTTCTACTACTACTACTACTACTACTGCTGCTACTGCTACCACCTCGACGACGACTATTATTACTACTACTGCTACCACTACTTTACTTTTGCTACTGCTCCTCCTCCTCCTCCTCCTCCTCCTCCTCCTGCTGCTCCTGTTCCTGCATGTGCCCATGCGACTGTTAATATTAGGTCCACTCCAGATGCTGCTGCTACAACTCCGGCTGCCAACACAACTGCTTCCAACGCCATCGCTGCCGCCACCACGGCAACCAGACTTGCTGAGTTCCACTACTCTTTGCTGGCTGTCCTTGCCAATCCTGAGGCCTAAAACCCTAAGACCCTAAAGCACTAAAGCCCTAAACCCTAGACCCTAAGCCCTAAACCCTCAGCCCATAATCGACTAACTAAAGCTACCATATGGGAGTTTCCGAAAATTAGGGGTACCTTCTTTTGGGGTCCTTATAATTAGGATCCTACTATTTAGGCGCCGAAACTAAGTCCGAAGCCATGGCCATGCCCAGAGACTCCAATATCTCTTGAGTAAGGAATACCTGGGGTTATAGGGCTCCTTTAAGGGATGTATAGGGTTTGGGGTTTAGGCTGCCCAGAGACTCCAATATCCCTGAATTGAAGAAGAAAGCGTAAAGTATAGTAGGATCTTACTACAATTTCGGGTATGTGCCTTAATAAAGGGATATTGGAGTCTCTGGGTACATCCACCATGGGGGCCCGCAATCCCAGGAGGTCTTGCATGCCATGCGCCTCTGCAAGATGTTGGCCTGGGAGTCGGAGATCGCCAACATGGCGGCTGGGTGAGAAAGAAAGCAGACTTAATCAGCTTCAATCAAAGATTTCCTAACATACTCTTTTCTCTCGATCCCTATGGTGGTAACTTAAAAACTAGACTCCCTAACAAGAAGCCAGGTGGAAGAGCGCCGAATCCTCGAGCTGAGGACGCTGCGGCGCCTAAAGCCGCTGGGAGCGGCACCGGGAAGTTCTGATTGGGTCATGGACATATATGATGCAGGGCTGCCACACCCCCCCTCCCCCCCCCACCCCATGGTATCCTCCCCCCTTCCCCCCCGCCCCCCCTGTGGTGTGGGGCCTGTGGTGGTACTCTTTTTGCCGCGATGTTCTTATGTGTTACTCCTTGTCTTCCCTCTTGCTGCGGCACCGGTGATACTGCTCATGTGATGTTGTGCTGCTCTAGACCGGGACATGGGTCGACAATCAGACCATGCTCAACATCATCCTTGTCGTCGTCATCTTCATCATTAATACCTTCCTCGAATATCTGCCACCATCACCATCGCCATACAACCCTCATAATTCAGCATTGCCATTCATGTCAGATGCTGGAAACTACTGAGCCGATTGCCGCTTTCCGCACACGGCAGGGCATAGTGCGACACTCCCGATCTGCGCACAAGGCCCAGGAGCGGGCAAGGTGCGGGCCGGGGGCGGGCCGGGGCGGAGGGCGGATGGGCACCAGCAGCAGGCCAGCAGCGGTGGGGGGGATACCATGGGGGGGGGGGGGGTGGCGGCCCGGGACCCGAGAGCATATATAATATATACACACCCTCATACAATGTTTTGCAGTATAGTCTGTTATAATAGAATCTATATACTAGTATGACTTATGATAATCTTATTTGTTATAATACGTACGACATACAGCTTTTTTGTGGAGTTCAGTGTTTAGGAAGTTTATGGTTTAGGGTTAGGTCCCTTGTGTCTCGAATCCTGCTAGCGGACTTTGTATCTCTTGTGGAGCTCCTGCCAGCTGCTAACTAGGGAATATACCTTTAAGGTACAAGGAGTATGTAGGACTAATTAGGGAATATACCTTTAAAGTATAAGGAATATGTGGAATTAGGGAATATACCCCTGTAAAGCCTAAGAAAATATGTAGGACTTAGGGTTCCTTGCCAAGGGATCTATAGGCTGTGAAGCAACGCCCAGGTCGTGGCAGCTGATTATCGGCCTTCTGCACTTTGGAACTTTTCTTCTTTGGTGAGTAGGGTTCCCTTTAAGGGGGTCTATTAGGGTTACTATAAGGGATCTATACTTACCTTTGGTGAGTAGTGGATGGAGGAATGGGGGCTTAGGGATTTCGGGTTTAGGGATTTAGGGTTTTGGGATTTAGGGTTTAGGGTTTGGTTAGTAGGGCTCCTTTAAGGGTTCTTTAGAGGAGCTCTAAGGGATCTATAATGTATAGGGGCTTAGGGTTTGGATAGTAGGGAATGGAGGAATGGGGTACAATTATAACCACTATTACTACCATTCTTCCATTCCCTACTAACGAAACGTAAGGGAGTTGAGGTTTGAGGAGTTCCGTGTAGCGAAGTCTTCGGGTTCATCGGAGGATGTGTCAGTTTAAGATTTCCCTGTCTTGGTGCTGTGGCCTGCCCTAAACCCTAAACCCTAAACCCTAAACCAGCCAGCAGTGCTTTAACCTCAACCCGTCATGCTGCGACGCTCAGTCTACGACCCCTTGGTTGAAGACCCCAACCACGAACTCCCGGTCCCAAACCCACAAGCTGCGGCCCCAAGAACTAAAGAAAGGCAGCCCGCACCCGAGATCCGACACCCGAAACCCGCGCCTTCGACACATGGAGACCCCAATAAAACTGGCATAGCAGCGTTTGCAAGCAGGGTCTTTTCGCGTGTTTGGGCTTTTTGGGCAAGTGGTTGAGGATTTAGGATCAAGGCTTAGAATTCAGGCTAGGATTGAGGGCCCGGTGTTAAGATGTGGGTTGAGGTGTACAAGGGTGGAGGTGTGGCCGCCAGGGTTCATGGGCAAAACTAACATAAAGAAGATTCCAGAAGCACCCGTGTTCACTCCAGGCGTAGTAGGCTCGGAACCTGAAACGTCGGCAAAGCTCTATCCCTGTAGCCTGAGGCTGAGATACTGGGCTAAACCCTCTCTGGCCGTGGCCGAGTCTATAAGACTTTTCCCATGTTTGAGGAAAGGGAGTTCTTATCAATCAGCCATAGGGAGCCTTAAATTTAGGGTTTAGGGTTTGGGGGTGGTAGGGGGGGGCAGGGGGAAGGGGGGGGTCTGACCCACCCAGGTTTGGTGGCCCGACCACGGCGCTGCTACAGCTCTTCACCTTCACGGCCGGCTTCGGCCAAACTGTAGGGCGGTTCTGAGATTGAGTTCCCTCCAAAAGGTACCCTTTGCCGAGGGTTGGAGGTTTAGGGTTGAAAGCAAGGTTTTGCGGCCGCTACGTGTCATAAGATGTCGCAAGTACGGTGTTTGGGGTTGGCGTAAGCGTTCAATACAAGCTGGTGCGACGGTCGTGATGATGTGCAGTTGATGACATTGGGATGCATCTTTTGTCCAGCTGCGATCGAATGCGCGTGAAAGTTTCGTGTTGGTACCCTTATGCCGCTTTTACCCTGAGACCCAGACCCAGACCTGCTCTTCGAACTTCTTTTGGCTTCTCCGACCTCCGGGAAGGTCTTCATCCTTCTCGGTGGAGATCTCACCGCAGGCATCGTCTTTTCCTCGCTGGCCATGTTTGACCTCATCCAGGTTCCAATCAACCTGTTTCTTGTCAGGTTTAGGGTTTAGAGTTCAAAAGGTGTTGGGTTGGAGTTTAGGTTCTGGGGGTCTAGGGTTTGGGCCTCAGGCTTTTCGATTTGTTGTTTGATGTTCAGGTCGTGAAGGATTCTGTGAATGAAAAGAAATTCTCGTAAGGTGAAGCCGCACTGATGTATGGTGTCAGGGTTTAGAGTTTGCAGTTAAGGAGTTTAGGTTAGGGTTAGCGCCAGAAGGGTTTAGGGGCATTCGGGACAGCCTCATCAGGTTTCCGATCACGATCCAGTACCTGACGCAGACGTTCGTGGCCATGCGGCGCATCGAGCGTCTCTTGAAGGCTGAGGAACCGGCTTACACAGACCACAGACGGTTTATACAGGGTGTATATGGTCCGTAAGTCTTGCTTGTTTCCAGTTTTTGGGGCGTTTCGTTGTGTCAGCTGGGTACCTCCTGCAAGGAAGCGATGATTTCCCGGAGAAAGCAGCCCAAACCCAAAGAGCCAAAATTGCGAACCTCGTGATGATGTGTGTTGAAACTGTTGCTTCTCGGAACGGCGCGACGACCTCCCAATGTCGATCTTTGCATCCTTGGAAAAAGGCTCTTGCAAGGATGCATTCAGCAGTGTCCGTTTTCGTCTTGCAAGAAGGTTGGGAAAACCTTGGTCCCTGGAGGTTTTGGGCCTTAAACCCTCCTAAAGGCCTTCTCGGTTCCCCTTTGCACCCTCGAAGGAGAAAGGTCGAGGAGAGCCGGGGAAGGACGCTGGGCTGTTGTTTCGGGCTTGGGTCCCCAGCCAAAGCTATTCTACTTCTTAAGGGCCCCCATATTAGAGAGCCCTTATAGGATCCCTAATGCTGACCGTTATAAAGCACCCTTTCATACATAGGGTTGTGGGAGTGTCGCGGCTTCAGGGCTGAGCTTCACGCCGACGGCTCCGGGCGAGAGAAGCCTGCTGCAAAGGTCGAAGCGTTCAGGGCATAGGCTGTTGTGAAGGAACTAGAGTTTTGGCTCTTTGGGTTTCACATTGGGTGTTGTACAGAGTTCATATGGACTATACGAACTTAATACGAACGATATGCTTTCCTTGTTCTTGTAATTCCAACGCAGTTGAGTCCTCGTGGCAGTGTCCAGGATGTGCTCTACCTGCGCACGCTCCTGGAGCCTTTGGCTGCTATTGCTTGGGTGTAAAGCCTTCGGGTGTTGGGTGCTTGTGCTTGTTATGAGGGCTTTTCAAGGTTGTTTGGGGCTTCTAGAATGGCTGATTGATTATAAGGGCTTCTACAAGGCTGTTGTTGAGGGATCTGTTAAGAACGTCTGAGGTACTATAGTCGTTTGGGCATCTAGAAATTCGGACCGGGGCTTCTTGCACGAGTGCATGGGTTTAGCCATTAGTTCAGGCTTTACGGAACTTAACTTGAGTGTCCCTTTTGTGCCTCTGTCCCCTCATAAAGAAAGGCGCTCTTTTTCATTTTTCTTTACGGACCTCAATGCTAGTACCTCCAGTCTTATCCCGCTGAAAAAATCGGCCCAGGTTCCCGGCGGGTCTAGCGGTGTTGAGGTTTGAGCTTTGAGGGTTTATGCCCTCAGAGGCTTCAGCGGAAAGCCTTCGATCAAAAGTAGCCTGGTGTTTGAGCCTGGCTACAGTACACAGGGAAGGCATCCAGTGTCTCACGCTGTTGGGATTCAGATTGGGCCAGGTTGTTTAGTACTGGTGTTATATTATTGCTATGAGTACTCTTACCGTTCTTAAACCCTAAACCCTATACCCTAAACCTCAGCGAATCGGAAAAGGGACGTTTAAAACAACTCTAAACCCTAAACCCTCCTTTCAAGGAGTGTGGCCCCGCGATGTCCCCCGTGAAGCTGCAGAGCGCGAGCTTCCACTGGGCCACGCCGAATCGCGTGGAGTCGGAAGAGGAGGGACCTTCCCCGAGGGAAGCTTCGGATGCACTTAGGCTTTAGGCTTTAGGGTTTAGGGTTCAGGGTTTAGGGTCTAGGGTTTAGGGCATACAACCAAAGCCCGTGCTCAAAAAGGGTAGGAGGGATGCACATTGGGTTTAGGGTTTTCGGGAGCCGAGCTGCGGATGGGTTCTATGTGGGGTTTTGCAAGGCTCTGCATGGGGTCTGAAGGGTTTAGCGCTTTAGGCTTTAGGGATTGGGGGTTTTAGGGATTGAGGTTCAGGGTTTCGGGATTGCGTTTGGAGTCTAGGACTAAGATAGATCGGTAGGTCGATAGATAGAAAAGAAAGAGAAGAGAGCGATAGACACAAACACAAAGCCGTCAGTGGGTGAGCAGCACTACAATGATGTTTCTCTTTGCAGTATTCGGAGTACCAGCGCTGCCGCCGCCGAATCCTGCACCGTGAGATGCGGCGATCAAGACGACGACGAGGATGATGCTCTCATGCTAGTTGTTGATACTGGTGGTGATGATGAAAGTGACGGTGATGATGTTGAGGATGACGATGATGACGACCATGGCGGGAGGTCGCAGCAATGATGCGGACATGGCTTCCGATCTTCGAGCCACTCCCATTCCCAGAGAGCCCAATACCCCTTAATTAAGGAATATAGCTTAAATCATAATATGAGGCCCCTTATAATTTAAGCCATATTCCCCAATTAAGGGGTATTGGGCTCTCTGGGTTCCGCAAGCCACCCAGGCATCCCAGGCTGGATCTCGACGCTGCTTTCCGCGCTGGTCCCGGGCCCCACGCCCGGGATCCGAGGCGCTGCTTGCGATGACGGCGCTGCCACCTGCCAGAATTTGAGTCCCTGGTTCTTGGGATTATAGAGAGGATTATTGGGGACTATACAGGGACTACTATAGGCCAAAGAGGCGGCTTCGGAAGAGTATGTGGGGCTGGGATGGCTTGGATGCTAAGACTCTACAAGATGTTTTTCCGTAAGCCGTAAACTTCGTTCGCCCTGTGAGCACCGAAGCCATTGGCGCCTTTGGGTTCCGGCTAAACGGACCCCAGAGGCTCGACACACAAGTTTCCGGGGCAGTCAGGGTTTCTCTATGGGTATCGTAAGGTTGCTATCGGGGTGTTTTAAGAGCAGTTTCAGGTTTGCATAAACGTTTACTAGAAGCATCAGGCCCCTCGTCCAGTTCGTCTGATTTGTGGGATGGTTGGTGATTTGAGTTGGGCAGCATGGCACTGCAGAGAGAGAGAGAGAGAGAGAGAGGTAGAGAGCGAGAGAGAGAGCAGATGGAGCCACCGGACCCGCAAGACAGGTGATGTGTAGTCTTGCTGTGTCCATTTTGGCTTACGTCCTTTCTGCAGACGAAAGTATGCGTGTCGCAGCTTGCCAGAACCAACATAGTAACCACTATTGTCATTCCACAGCACCCCTCATCTATACGCTTCGGCACCATTAGCGATAGTACCAACTTATCCCCATATCACTGTGCTGCAAGATGCCCCAAAGGCCTTTCAAATCTTTCAGCTCTCCGGATCATACAACCTTTGTAGAACCCTTATAAACCCTTAACGGAAGTCTTCAAGGAACCCTGATAAAACCGTTTTCGAACCTCTACAGGAAAGCTTCAAGGAACCCATATGCATCCCTTACAGAACCCTTTGAAGGAACTTGGGGCTCCTATTAACGGAGCCCGAAAGCCTAAACCATGTAGATCCCTCAAAGGAACCTTAAGGATCCCCCACAAGGGGCTCTCATGTCCTCAACCGAGGCCCGCAGCTCCGACCCGGCAAATACATCTCAAAGTGAACCTCCTGGAGGCCCTTGGCGGCTTTTGGTGGTGTTTCTTTTTGGGTTTTTTAGCGCGTACTTATAGATTAAAGATGTTTTTTGGAGGACGGGCGGGGGGGGGTTAACGTGTTTTGAGGCTCCTTTTCGGATGGGAATTTCGTTCGTAGGTTTCCGGGCACAGGATTCAGCATTTTCCTGTGGGCTGATCTCACACTACGATCTTCGAAGTTGTTCCCGTGTAGAGCTCGAAGCTTTGGGGACCTAAGTGGTTTAGGGTAAAGGACCAAACAGCTGAACTCGAGGTGCTCCATGGCAAGTTCGCGTTGATAACTGGCCCTGTGGGCTGCGGCAAGAGCACGTCGCTGCAGACGGCACTTGAGATCTTTGGAGGGGGCTGAGCTCTCAGACCTTTACAAAAAGTTCTGAACATAAGCTAGGGTTTGGGATTTGGGTTTCCAGCCCCAGGTATCCCAAACTCTCGTTTTGTTGGCTCCCAGCTTGAAGCTGTGCTTGTCCCAGGCTTGCTGTGAGTCAAAAGCTCAGCGACCCTTGGTTTGTGCTGGTTTCCTGTAGCTGGTAGCCCCTAAACCCGGAAAACCCGAAGCTCGAAGCCGTAGCTGCCACAGCTCGCTGGTGTCACCTCTGCCAAGTCGAACATACCCGAACGTGAATGCCCGAGCACCCTTGCAAAGCCCCTTCCAAATTCAAGCTTTAGAAAGCAAGCGCCAATACGGGTTTGGGTAAGTGCAGGGTTTGTCATTAATGAACCTTCTCGAAGCATAAAACTAAACCCTATTCAACACTGAAACTGAAACGCATCTTTGGAGCCCTGCACTAAACCCCGAATCCGATGCTATACCAGGCAGAAGAACCCCCCTTTCAACCCTAAGCTAAAACCCTCAACCCGAAAACCCCTCAATCCTAAACCCTAGACCTTAAAAAAGCCCTCAAAGCGTAAGATCCCTGACCAATCTCCTGGCCGATGACCTTATGTAAGCCTGGACGAGGGGCAAACATACGTTAAAAGGAGCTCAAAAACCCTAAACCCTAAACCCCAAACCCTAAACCCTAAACCCTAAACCCTAAACCAGCCCTCAAAAGCCTTCTGAGCCTGAAGCTTTCCAAGGCTTCTCTCTGCCATACTGGGCGAGGTACCACAGCTGGCTGGCCGGATTGAGTTGCTTGGCCGGAGCTGAGGCTTCTTTCGCGGTTCAGGGTTAAGGGTTTTGCCGGGGTTTGGGGTTTAGGGGGTTTAGGGGTTTAGGGGGTTTAGGGGTTTAGGGGTTTAGGGTTTAGGGTTTTGCCGGGGTTTGGGGTGTAGGGGTTTAGGGTTTGATTGCCTTTGGGGTTTGGGGTCTTGGTTGTGGGGTTTGGGGTTATTGGTTTCAATTGATTCGACATTTGGGTTGGCATAGGGGATGTTACGAGAGCTTTGCACGGTTGTATTCCCGGGTTGACAGGGGTTTGATAAGGGCGTTTTGGGCCCTAAAGGATTGAGAAGGGGCGCTATACGGGTTCTTTAACGGCATTGAGAGGGGCCGTGTAAGGGAATTCGATTTTGGGTTTGAGGGAGCTCAGGGTTGGGGGTGCCTAGTTTGTTAAGAGAAGTCATCGCTTACGGCTGTGTTTTGTGCAGGGATTCAGCAATTTAGGGGTCCGGACTATGGTAGAAGAAGAAAAGTTGGAAACCCAATAGCCTCAATCCTTTAGATTAATGTATAGGGAATCCCAGCACTATTTGGCCTTAATTCGGTTTCCAACTTTATGGAGTTTACTGTAGAATCTTTGTGGCCTGAGGTCTTCAGGGTCTTGCGGGTGGTTCGGAGGTTTGGGGATTGATGGGTTCAGGGCTTTAGGAAGCTTGGGGCTCAGGGTCTGGATAGGGTTCAGCAGTCCTAAACCCTATGAGCCCTGCGGGTACGGATCTCTTTGAAGAGTCTCCACAGCCTGCCTGCCTATATGTAAGCCATTGTATTTGGACATTGGGTCTGCAATCACATGAATAATGTGTGCGAGCTGTTCCTCGAAATGAGGGGTGGGGTGGAATAGAGACGGTGAAGCCTTTCTCTGTCCCAGTCCCACATAAATTGGCTTCGAAGCTGTCGCCGTAGTCAGCTGATACCTCGAAGTTACGCTGCAATGCAAAAGTAGGAAGCAAAAAACTCTAAACCCCAAGCCCTACACCCTAAACCCTGAACATTTTGGGCTTGAAGGCTTTGGCAAAGGGGCTTCGCGGTATTGAAGGGTTGCAAGGTTCCGGGTGTTCTGTGCACACGATGGCTCATCGTCATCTTCGTCAATGCCGGCAGCATTTGTTGTCATTTTTCGTGTTCTTCAGAAGATGAGATGCCTCGGCGTACCAACGAAAAGGATCATCGCTGATGATGGTGGCTGACAGAAGCTGCCCATCTCAGCGGGGACGGTGGCGACCCTTGGGAAAAGGGGCAATATTGAGGTTCGCAAGAATCGTAGTGTTCTCACAGCATACTGCCTGTATAGTATGCATGATATACCGTCAAGCCCTATTCTAATTTTCTTATTAAGGCCCCTACATTGCTGCCTCGGAGCTCCAATCTCAAGAAAGCAACTCGAGCCCTTAAGTAGACATCTGGCAGTACCCCGCTTAAACGGTTTGAATGAATCTGATTTGGCCTGTATATAGCCCACTTGGCGAAGCATACTTGAGGTGGTCAGTCCTAAGATCTACCCTAAACCCTGAGCCCTAGACCTAAACCTTATAAACCCTGTCTAGCTGTGAGTGCTGAAACCTCAAACCAAAACCCTATAAGCCCTAAACCCTTAACCCCAAACCTAGACCCTATAAACCCGAAACCCAATGCCCTAATAAGTTAAGAGGCTTCTGGGCTCCGTCGCCTACTGCGCTCAGATCCCCTGGCTCCTGCCTCTCGCCTGCTCCAGGGTTGGAGGTCCGAAAGCCATGGTTTGGTCCTGGTTCTCCCGAAGATTCTCCCGCGACTTAAATCCTCGCGTCTGAGGGCTCTGTAGGGCTCTTGTAGGGCTCTTGTTGGGGCTTCAGATCTCCTGAGATTTGGGGTTTGAGGTTGTAGGGGTTTAGGGTTGAATACAGGTGCCTTAACAGTTACCTATACCATTTTTGGGGTTCCTTCTTACAATTATAGTCATGATGGGGATCCTTAGATGATGGTTCCTTGTATAGTTCTGCTAGTGTATATCCCAAAACCCCGAGTCTAATTAGTAAGCCACCTAGATTTGTCTTTAGGTCCCGAATTTCGTGGAAATGGAAGGTCGGGGATTTGGGCTGAGGTTTGAAGGTTTTGGGATTCCTTGAAGGGTTCCTTTCGGGGTTCTACAAGGGATTTTAACCTTATAGGGTATCTCAGAGTTTAGGGTATTTAGGGTTGGGATGGTTGGGGGTGTCGTGCGCAGCGAACACGTTTGGACGGTTCGGAGACAAGTTGGGGACGGAGAACCAGGAACATTGCGTTGAAATATAGTTTGAAACCAAAACAACTGAAGCGCAGGGAAGCTTCATTCATTCCTACGCTCTTGCAGCCCGGGTCTGTTGCTAAGCTCACTTGGAACCTCTATCTGAAGAAACTTTAATGCAATTGTGACAGAAAAGCTTCATAAGCCCGACACCAAACATTGCGCCTTGGGGACTCTTGTTGCACAAGGCATGGGACCGTGCAGGACAACATCACCTTTGGCAAACGCTATGATGAAGAGAAGTTCTCGAAGGTTCGGAGCGTACACTTCTTCTTAAGTCCTGCAGCCCAAAATCGGGTTTACTTCGTGCTGGCAAGACGATTCCATCAGATCAGTGGCAAGCGGGCCAGGCGCCTGATCCTCCCGTGGTCATAACCGCCGCTCGTTTTGAGACGTCGTGTGTACCAATGTTAGTTTCAATGGGTGTGGCATCGGCAACAGAATCTGCGGCGAGTGTCATGCTATCATACAATATCATCCTGACCATGGTGTTGGGAGTCTAGAAGCCGGAAGCCTGACGTCCACTTCTGCGAAGCAACGAACGCACGTCACACGGAGGTGGTAGATGTGTGCTGCTTGCGCCCCGACTTGGCTCTGCTGCAGGACAGGCTGCAAGCCAATTTCAGCTCTTTCGGAATATGTAGCCTCGCCCAACAGCCTTCATGGCGGTTCGGTGCATCGCCTCTTCCCGAATTGTGTTTTAGTGGTTGTGCTGCCGGGGTGGACGTTGTTCTGGGTCCTGACAGGCAGTCACTTGTGGACGTGGTCGAGGTGGACGTCTGTTCTCGTTGTGGTATGGGTGTTGACGCGGATTCGCTGATACTCCTGCGTAACGTCAAAACCAGTGCCTCCAAGTTGTGAATGTTATGGGGTCCTTGGTCGTCACTAAATCCGAATGCGCGCAAATGTGGGATTCTGGGGATGCAAGGATTGTGCAAGTAACTTTCGCCTCGGGACGAGACGGAGGATGGTCAAGCCACCATCATCGGAGAGCGAGGGGTGAACTTGTCTGGCGGCCAGCCGCTACGCTGAACTTTTGATGTGGGGTTCACACAGGTTCATAACATAGGAGTGGTTCAACAGGCATTGTACTTGGAGGTTCATGGGTAGTTATAAGTGGGGTTATAAGTCCTCTAGTATGGGTTACAAGTACAGTCACCGTACTTATAACCCTACTCATAACTACCCATGAACCCTAACCCCTACAATCCTATACCCTAAACCCTAAACCCTATAGATCCCTTTAAAGGAACCCTACTCATAACCCCCCATGAACCTCCAAGTATGCTCTTTGCTTGGCCCAGGGTTTCGGAATTGAAGTTTTCGGTGAGTAGGTCGGCTATAGGAGACTTGTCGTTTCGGGTCACATCGCGCATGCTCCAGTTAGCTTAGTTACGCACCAGCACATCCTCGTAAGGTTCACGCTTTTGTTTGTCACCTCTGCATCGTTGCCATCGCCCTTCTAGTTTCTCATCACACCATCACCTGTGTCGTTGTTTTCATCGTCATCTTCTTCGTTATGGCCATGGTTATGATTACAACACCAGCGTCATCATGACCACCACCACGGCCACCACCTCCATGATTCATCATCGCCATCAGCAGAATCATAGTCATGATCGCCATCAGCGACGCCGCCACCTCACCATCATCAAATCTATCTCTTGCTCTAAGCAAGAAGCAGAAGAGCATGTGGAATAATGAAGCCGGACTACCAATGATATTCCATATTCTTCCCTACCGAAGGGGTTCTTTACTATAGTTATACTATAAGATACCCCCCCAAACCCCACTCTAATCGTGGAGGCCTTAAACCAGTGCCTCGAAACTCACAGCACGGCTCGCCACCGAGGAAGGCCCGTGTCAGCCTGGCGCGCGCCGCGTACAGCGACTCCTCAGTCTACTTGCTCGACGACCCGCTGTCGGCCGCTTTGGGCAAAGCGGCCATCTTCTAAACCCTAAACCCTAAACCCTAATTGTTATCATTGCTGTGGCGATTCTGGTGCGATTTGCCAGTTTGGGGTGTAGCAGTCTAGCGGGATAGCTCCAGTCCAACCTTGCGGCTAAACCCAACAAAAGGTAGAAAGGTAGCACAAGGTTAAAGGCTCGAGGCCTACAGTGCTTTTGGAGCTAAACGGGAAGTAAGTGAGCTCACCTGAGGCCGTGGATGCTCATGTGGCTGTGCACTTGGCTTGCCGGCGGCAGTTTCAAGCATCCCAGACAAGACCCAGGGTTCGATTCGTTCAAAGGAGCTTGGCATCTGTACACTATCGAGGCTGCCCAAAACTAACCTCAAACCACATACACTTTACTTCAACTTATCGTGTGAGATGGTATGTGACCGAACAGCTTACCCCTTGAAGCCCTCAATCCCATTGAGCTCTCGGAAACCCTGCCGAACCCAAGATCCGTGCTTCCCAAGACAATGAAGTCTAGGTTGCTAGCACAGACGACCCAGAATTTGAACCAAGCCTACAAGCCAAGCCATGAACCCTCAACACTAACCCCTGAAATTCGACATCCTAAGCCCTAAACGGTACGCCTTGCGAGGAGTAGTGTGAGATCCTTTTCAATTTAGCGCAGTAACGGAAAGTTGCATGGTTCTGAACGGTGTGAGTAGCGAAATGGCATTGACGACCGTGAGACCTCGTCCGTCGTGATCGGTATCGGATTTCCCGTGGCTTTCGCTGTATGCCTGCTTGGCGAGTACATCTGAAGCCCCAAATCCAGAAACCCTCAATCCTGAGTGATAAAATAGTGGCCTGATGTATAGTACTAGTCCTCAATTCCGTCTTCAGGCCCCTGTGTAGTAAAGCTTTGTAGTAACCCACTTAGAGAAATCCTTAGAAGGAACCCTTGAAGGGAGCCTTAGTCTGACAATGAGGGCCCCTGCCCTCAACCCCTGAACCCTTAAACCCCTAACCCCCTAAACCCCCAAACCCCTGAAACCCTAAGCCCAAGAAGGAAACCCTCTTCTGACTCTGCGGGCCCCTATGTTCAACCTTTGTTCCGCTCGAGGTGAAGGAATGCCTTGGTGCAGACGGCTGCTCGTCGAATTTGGGGAGTATGGGGCTTAACTAATTACCTATACTTTTTTGGTGATTCCTCATTATACTTATAGTATAATGGCCTCCAAAACCCTATTATACCCTATTCTAAGTATTAAGGAGACCACTTTAGATGAAGCCCATTCTAGTTATTAAGGCCCCTACATTGGAACACACCCAGCAGAGGCTTCCTGTCGAAGACCACACGCCTGCTGGTGAGCCACCAGGTTCAGTTTGCAACAGAGGCGCGGCGGGTTTCGGGTCGTTAGCTTCAGATACAGGTGTTCAAAAGCCTGGAAGCGCAAGCGAAACCGTGTGCATCTAAACCCTTCCTTCGATGTGAGAGATGCTTCAACGTAATTACGGTCCATCTCGGCACGCTTTCCCTTCCTCGATAGGTATTTACTCCACCACTAGTTGAACTAAACCTTAAACCCTAAGCCCCGAAGGCTCCTTGAACCCTATACCCCAAAGGCTCCTTAAACCCTATACCCCAAAGGCTCCTTGAACCTTAAACCCCAAAGGCTCCTTAACCCCTATACCCCACAGCCTCCTGGAACCTTAAACCCCAAAGGCTCCTTAAACCCTAAACCCCAAAGGCTCCTTGAACCCTAAACCCTGAGCCCAAAATCCGATGCAAAGTTCGAAGTGTTTTCGGCTCAAAGAATAGCAGTGCAGGGACTTGGGAAGAAGGTTTTCGAGATTTAGGGTTTAGGGTTTTAAGATTTCGGATAGGATGTCAGAGCTCGGAATTCTACACCCGTTTAGGGTTTAGGGTTTAGGGAACTTAAACCCCTAGACCCTAAACCTCTGCACGCCTAAACCGCTAAATAAACCCTTTGCCAAGAAGCTCAGGTGGACCTGGTCGTTGTGATCAGGAACGGGGAGGCGCCTCCCTTTAGGACCATAGCTTCCAAGCGACCCCAGCTCCAAACCCTAAGGCGCGAAACTCTGAACCTTATGACCCGAAACCTATGCCTTACAACCTAAACCTAAACTGGTGCAGTCTGGCATTTGCAAGTTTCTTGTTCGTGAGTACTGGGTGCTTCACCAGCCAGATCGGAAAGCCTAAAAGCTGGTGGCAAAGGTGTTATTTGATGGGCTTTTGTGATACGGTTCTATAAGGCTTTGTGCTTGGGGCTTTCCATGTAAGCGAACCTCCAACTACCCAGCCCGACTTCTCGTTTTAGGGTTTGGATTATCGTTCGAATTAGTTGCACAGGGGCCATCATTCTCGGCATAATAATGGCTTTCAGTCAGGGTTCGCTTTAGGTGATGCAGATGCATGCTCGTCTTGCTGCGCGCACGACATGATGATGCTTGTTAATACGGTTCGATTGGGCACCCTTACGGGGTCGTGGCTTTGCGCGCAACTAGGTAGACATCGAGCCTGGTTTCGAGCGGCTACGGTGCAGCTTATCAACCCCAAGTCTTGCTTACCAATGTGTGCTTCGCCGGTGCATGGTTGCATTCACGCTACAGCCTATAGCTTACGCAGGCTCTAACGTCTGCTGACTTCTGCGGGGCTGGGCTTAATTTGCACGAACTGATGCGGGGTCGAGTCGAACTTGTGCGAACATGAACAAGTTCGGAAAACCGCATTAGAATAACACCTGTCTCGCGACGGTGGCATCATATGCTGTATATATATATATATACATATGACATATGCAAGAGCTATTAGAACGGTAAAGCTTGTGAGCAAAACCAGATCCGAAAATCTACACCCCAAAGCCCTAAACACCTAAAGCCCCATTCTGGAACCGTCATAGGACCCTCTTGCATCCTATGAAGTAGCCCTTAAAGGAAGTTCATAAGAACTCTGTAAGAAACCTAAGCCTCCCAGTGGGCCCTTTTTCCCTTGTTGCAGTCCCAGGCTCCTTATAAAGTTACTCAATACCCAAACAGGGAGCCCTTCTTATTCCTAGGTTATTGGGAATCCTAGTCAAACGAGGAGTATTCCTTAAACTTAGGGTTCCTGAATCCTAGAAACCCTTAAAGCAACGTGGGTGCCCTGCAGGTGACCGCGGTCGGCCCGCCCCAGCAGTTCTCCATGGAAGAGCTCCGGTCAGCCGAGAGGCCGCCCCAAGACCTCGGGATCCTTTTGGGTATGGGTTTAGGGTTTAGGGTAAAATTTGGGTTTAGGGTTTAAGATTTGGGTTGGAATTAGGGATGCGTAGTCTAGGTGTAAAAGGGTAAAATTAGGGGTGCCGTATTGTCGGGTCCTTATAATAAGGATCCTATTATGTAGGGTACTATATCAGGGTCCCTATTTTCTGAAAAACACTTGTAAACGGTTCAGGGATTTCTTGGTGTAGGGTTTAGCGTATGGTAGGGGCTGGTATATTCTTGTAAGCTTTACAGACTACAAGGGTTGTAGGGGCTACCGCTGAATTCGGGGTGTCATGTCAGATGGCCCCTATAATGGCTTGTAAAGGGCTCCAGGTTTTTTGTATAGACTGCAGCCGTTGGACCCATACACTTTGACACAAACCCTGGACCCAACCTCAATTCAACTCATTATATATGAGGTTCCCTAAACCCCAGAGGTTAAATCCCAAAACCAGGACAGGCCTGGTTCTGGCCTTCATTTGTCAAGTTAAAGCCACATCTGACCCCATACTCCAACCCCATGGCACACAACCCTAAGACTTCAAACTGTTCCACAGCATAAGCCTGCTTAGACCCCTCTCTTTCGCCCCTTCTTACCTATACACATGTATATGTACCATGTGTGTATATGTATAGATACATATATATGTATGTATGTATATATTATAGTATATTATCTTATGTTACAGTATAGTATAGTATGTTCTAGTATATGTTTTAGATATATGCCTATATACATATAATTCATCCATGACTTACCCGAGCCAGGGCTGTCGACGAGCCCCCTGCGGAGTCCACCCAGGGCCCCAGTCGCCAGGGCGTGGAGGGCCGCGGGGCTGCCTCGAGTGTCCGGTATTAGGGTTTAGGATTTAGGGTTAAGGGTTCTCTGACAGTTTCGGATTGAGGGTTTTGGGGTTCTAGGGTTGATGATATAAATCCTGCATTACCTCAAGGACCCTAGACTTTGGGGTTGTGGTTTAGGTACAGGGGCTCCGATTACCAGAGAGAGAGGTACAGGGGTTCCTGGAGGGTTTAGGACTGAGGGCTTCAGGCTTCTAGGGTTTAAGTAAACGGGGTAGGCAGGCCTTTAGGGTTTCCACAAGGTTTCGAAAAGGGTTCTACAAAGGGTTCTGAAAGGGTTCTGCAAGGGCTCAGGAGGGTTTTCGACCCAATTCCAAACACTGATGGAAGGTTGCATGGCGTGAGACGTTACAAGTATGCCACCATAACTTGACTTCGCGACTCGTTCAGCCATGAAGAGGTAAAAGATACTAATATAAGGGCCTGAGTAATAACAGAGGGTTACGTAATCAAAACCCGACCACCCAGCAGCTTCAAATGCTCTTTAAGAGCCCTATATTCAACTTTGAGCCGAGGGGTGCTTGAGCAGCTAGGAATGTGACGAAGAGGGCCGCTTTAGTTCTGGCATTGTCGAAGCCCCAGTAGTAGAGAGTAGCCGTCAGGCAGGTGGCCTTTAAGGTAGAGGGTTTGGGGTCAAGCTTTGGCAGGTTTGGTTTGATACTTTGCCGTACGCCCCAAGGGTGGAGAGGCCTCCTCTGGCGGGGGTGCTTGAGAGCCCGAGGATCACACGAAAGCCCATACCTCTGACCTCGTTGTGACAGTCTCAACATGAACCCTAAAGCCTTAAATCCTAAACATGAACCCTAAAAGCCTAAACCGTCCAAGAACGAATTAGTTGGATGCCTTTCTGGCATCCCAGATCGCGAAGCTGAGCCAAGGCCTTCTACCCGAGCCCTTAACCGGGAAAAGCTAAGTTAAGGAAATATAGATCTGATCACACCTTCGTGGCCACCTATCCCCGGGCCGTGCTCGCTTTTTTTGAAAGGTCTCGCGGAGGCGGGGCCGCCCACCCTCGATCGTGCCCGATCGCTGCCTCATGGCGAGGTGCAGACATGGGTTTTTGAGTGTCGGGAGGCTCTGCTATAGGGTTTAGAGGTTTAGGATTTAGGGTATAGGGGCTTGAATAGTTCACCAGAACTCAACACAATCCAATCCCTGCAGCCAGCCAATGCACCCTGCATGTTGGGGCCCTGACCCCGAAGCCCTAGGCACCCTGCGCTACAACGATTTGTAAGCATGATGTCATTCAAAGACAACAAGAACGACAAAAGATACTGTTAGCAACAGGGGCTTACTTGGAGGTTCATGGGTAGTTATAAGTAGGGTTATAAGTAGGGCAATTACACTTATGACCCATATTAGGGGACTTATAACCCAACTTACAACTACCCATGAACCTCCAAGTAATCACCTAAACCCTATACCCTTATAGAATCCCTATAGATCCTTTTAAAGGGACCCTTAAAGGAACCCAGCCCCTCGCCAGGCCTTGGGGCCTCCGCTGGAGCGGAAGGGTGCGGGAAACCAGCTGTCCAGCAAAAGCTTTACGAGAAGTGACTCGGCGGCTTTGAAGCCCTACAAAAATATCCGAAACTGAAACCCTGCAAACAAAACCCCCTGAACCCTAAAAATCGGGGCCTGCGGGTTTTTGGTGTCTTCGTGCCTTTGAGTTTTGCTTTCGGGGGTCCTCTCGGTGTCTGTCGGTCTTTGGGCTTTGACCTTGCTTTGCTGGGTTTTTGTTAATTTTAATCTAAGTTACCATAGTAAGGAAACTTCATTATCTACTGTAAGTAGTTCCCTATTATAGTAGCTTAAATTCAGTTCCTTAAATAAGTTCTCTATTATAATAGCTTAAATTCAGTTCCTGAAATAAGTTCTCTATTATAATAGCTTAAATTAAGTTCCTTAAATAAGTTCCCTGTTGTAGTAGCTTTGATTAAGCCCCTTAACAAGAGACCCGAGTCTGGCTTTTGGGGCTCCGGGCTGGTGCAGCTACCTGCGAGGTCTAAGTGGGCCCTTGGTCCTCTCCGAGGTTTAGGGTTTGGGGTTTAGGGAGATAGGGGTACCAAGTCCGTGCTTCAAAAGGGGAATAGGGGTTTTAGGGTTTAGGGTTCAGGGTTTGAGGGGTTTATGGTTTAGGGTTTAGGAGTAGAGTAGGGTTTAGGGTTTAGGAGGTTTAGTGATTAGTTTGTGCTGTTTGCGACAAGGAGGTTGCGGACGTGGATTTCAGGCCTTCGGGCTGGGGCTCGACTCGACTCACCCTCCACCCTTGAAGACGTAAATCGCTGAAAGAATTCGAAGGCTACATTCTTGCGTCCTGACGCCCTGCATCAACAACCCAAAGCCCAACACTGGAGACCCTAAAACCTCCGCAAGCCCGGCCTCGAGGCACCAGTGCACCTCCCGACCCGGCTGAGTACGAGGCGCATCGCAGGCCATTGGCGGGGGCCCACAAAAGCAAGCAGTCACACACACACACACACAAACAACAGACATACAAACATACAAACATACAAACATACAAGCATACAAACATACAAACATACAAACATGCAGACATACAAACAGACACCGGCACCCAGAGACACGAACAACCCTCAACCCGAAACCCTAAAACGCCTTGCTGACCCGCACCGAGAACCTCGCCTGGCATGTCCGAGTCGTGAGAGCGTAAACCCGCCTTGCCTGCTTTGCGCGAGTAATCCATTCCCCCATCCCCTACTGAGAACCAGACAGCAAAGCGAAAATCCCTTATAGATCCCTTGTAGTAGCCCGTATAGAACCTTCTAAAGGAACCCTATTCTAAATATTCAGGCCCCTATACTAAGCGAAAATCCTGGGGACCGCGCCGAAACAGCAAACCCGGAGGATGAGTCGCGTGAGCTCGATGGACGGAGAGGCGCTAGAGCCAGCTTTGCAGGGGGCCTTGACCTAGTAGCTGAGTGGATACACTTTACACTTTTTGGGATTAGATTACCCACTATAAAACTGAAAGTGTAAACGTCTTGGGGCTTAGGAACTCAACAACTAAGTTAATAATTAGAAGAAGGTTCCTTTAAACGGGGTCTATAAGGGCTACTACAAGGCATCTGTAAACGTACTGTAATATAGGGGCCATAATGGTTGAATAGGGTTTTGGGGGTTCCTTGTACGTTATAATTATAGTACACTTACTAAGGCTCCTGCGTTAGCTTTGCAGGGGCTTGGTGGATAGAACGCAGATCGGTCGCGCGAGTTGGCTATTGCTCTGCCCCAGAAACAGGGCTTTGGGTTAGGGTTCGGGTTTCAGGGTTCAGGGATATGCGCTTGCATTCACCTTCGGTGTTCTAGTGTTCTAGGGAAACGGCTGCGACGGCAATGTGGAAGCCTCAATCCTGAACAACTATTTGCTCATTATCATGTCCAGCAAGACTCCATCTAGCCGCAACGAATGAAGAAAGCTCGCAAATGCCAGAGAACCTGCAGGGACAGCTTAGAGCGGAATCATCCGAACTTGCCGAAGCCTCTGGAAGGCCCCTGAGACCTGAAATCCTGCCTCGTCTATTTGCCTCCGAGTTGCGAGAGCCTAAACCCTAAATCCTAACCCCTGAACCTGAAAAGTGGCGCCTAAACCCTAAATCCCAACCTCTGAACCTAGAAAGTGGAGCCTCAACCCATCGGCCTAACCCCGAAACCTGAAAAGCGCAAAGCCTGCGGAGCCAGGAGACCGCAGACACCGAAGAGCGAGCCGAAGAGGTGGAAGAAGGCTGAAAATCTCAGATTATATAAAAATTCAGGGTTTAGGGTTTAGGGTTTAGGGTTCAGAGTTTAGGGTTTAGGGTGGTTTGGGGGGTTTAGGAGTTTAGGGCTTAGGGGTTTAGGGTTTTCTGATTCAGGGTTTGGGCTTCAGGCATTTAGGTGCCTGCACTCCGGTCAAGCTGAGAACACCGACAGGGATTATATAGTGTTTTCGTTACAAGCCTGTTTGGCCATGAAAGAATAGATCGACAGAAAAGCATAGATCGACAGATCACGCATTGCCGGCCGAGATTTGACAAAGGCATCAGATTATTTGTGGGTAGTTCTCTAAATTAGGGTCCCTTTGAGGGTAGCATTGTATGAGGGTGCCGTAGTATCTTCGGGACCTAGCAAGGAACCCTAATTTAGCGAACTACCCATGTCGATACACAGACGCAGCAAGATGTTGGTGCAGGCATAAGGCAATAAGCCAATAGTAAACCCTGAACCCCAAACCCCAAGCTTAAATCCTACGCCTCAAGCCTTAAAGCAAAAACAGGTCGGACCCTGAACAGCCATTCTGACATCCTTGTAAAGTTCTACAAAGTTGCATAAAGTTGTTCAACTCCCAACGCCGAATCCCCTCATCGCGGAAGCTGAATTTGGAAGTTTCACAGGGCTCCATTGGGGGCAACAAGAGCTGCACTAGGGTGTTCTAGCGTGTGGAAAAGTTTTAGGGGTTTGTCAGGGTTTCACGAGCTTTGTAGCGGTTCTCCAGGGCATGGTTGGCCAGTGACAGAGTTTCTTGGTAGCTGAGTAGATGACATTTGCTTTTGTTAGGTTTGTATTTTTTAGAATCCGAGCACATTTGGGTTTTTGAGCCTGGGAACTGCAACCAGGGTTCAGACACATCGCTTAGGTTTGAGAGCGTGGAAGTTTAGGATTAGGGTACCAGGAGCCCCTCTTCAACAAAGCATAAATGGCTGCAGAGAGCAACGGCTGGAACTGCATACTTCGAGACTTCCCTTTGACATGGACTCGAAAACCCTGAAACCGCCCAATTCTCCGCCGTCCGGCGGACATTCCAAAGCCATTCAAAAGCCAGATTAAACCCTAGTACCACCCCCACGAAACCCTAACCTAAACCCGAAGTAGGGTCTAGGGCTTGGGGAACCCCAAACTGAATCCTAAGTGCCCTCAGATTCCCACCAGTCTTTCTGTAGGCGCCCTCAGTGTCCGCGTTTGGTGCGCTTTCGTGAAAGCCATGGGTTGGGGCGTCTGGGTGGTGTGCCTGAGCTGAAGCTTAGCCACCCACCCAGAGTTCTCATAAGATTAAGAAAGAAGTGTGGTTCTAATGGAGTTGATTTCCGTTTGTATTTAAACCCTAAACCCTAAACCCTAAACTCTGAACCCTAAACCCTAAACCCTAAACTCTAAAATACACGCTCAAAGCTGAAGACATACCGGAAAAGCCAGCCCAGACTCTAAACCAAAGCCAAAGTAAGCTTTTTGGGTTTTTGGGTTCCTGGGTTGCTTTTGCTGTTAAGGGCTTCGGGGTTTGATTTTTGGGTTTAGGGTTAGGGTATAGGGTTTGGTTTTTTTGCGCTTGTGAGGATTTTGGGTTGTGTGGGGCGGGGCTCCGGGCTGAAGTGTTTTGGCTTAGATGATTCCGGGCCGAAGCGTTTAAATCTATATTCGCTTGGGCTTCATGGAGGGACCTGTTGGGCCGAGGAGGCGGAGCACTAGGGCTTAGGGCTTGTGAGTTGTTAGATGCGTGCCAACGTTTGCGAGGATTGCCACCAACTTCGTCAGCACCGCAGGCCCACTGGGGTTTTCAAACCTCGTCCAAGTGTGGTCGGGGTTCTTATATGACCCAAACCTTCCTGAACCTTAAAGCCCGCAAACCCTGAGCCTTGAAACCCATTCCAACATAACAGCGAGACGCTGAACTCGGGTTGCGGTTATTTGGTGCTCTGCATGCCAAGTCAACCGCCAACTGCAGTCTAGCAAGAAGAATGGAGCAATGAACGCCTATTAACTCTTGGCAGAAGTTCTACGATTTATCTTGGAGTGCCGCCGACACTGTGTTTCGGCCAGCATGAATAGCAGCGCAGCACTTGCCATAAGCACATGGGCCCCAGTTCTGGTCAGAACACCTTAAGCCCCCACGGGCACATGACATGCAAGATCCCCAAGCCTCAAACCAAAGAAAGCTTCAACCAGACCTCCAAACCCTGCTGCTTAAGAGCGCTGTTCACCCCTAGACTAGGACGCCTTAATCCTAAACCCTGAACCAAAAGAACAGCATACCTTGATCCTAGAGCAGGATACCTGTGCTCTGCACTCTGGATCGGGCACTGGCCGGAATTAAGCGACAAGCTGGGGACCGCGGATGCACTGGTGGCGGGCCGTCTGCACTTGTGGGATCCCGAAACTCCTGCGGTTTTAATTACAAAAACCCGAAGCCCTAAACCAGATGTTTTATTGCTTGTGCAAGGGATGTGTAAGATGTCTCTTTGGATTGGCAGTCCTTTCTCTCGGGGCCCTTACAGTGAGCTTCCTTCTGTTCTTCGTGAAGATTATAGGCATTTATTGGGGATCATTACCACATTACTGACACCCTCCCTTCACGCTTGGGAGGTGTTGGCTTAGGTCTTGCGGTGGAGATGATGTGTGTGTTTGGAGTCGCGGCAAGTCCAAGCCCAAACCGTGAGCAAGCCTGGAGCCTGGCGAATGATTGTGAAAGGAACCCTGCAGCTTGAACCCTCGACTTGGAATCGCCCATCGGAAGTCCGACCTATGGTATCTGTTTTTGGCATGATGCCCACGCCAGGTGTACGCACTCATCTCGTTTGCGATCGTCGCGTTCACGGCCATCAGGCCACTCGGAGAAGTGCGCTGGTACATGGCCTGGAAGTGCCATGAACCCCGAGGCTCTCATGACAAATGTCCGATTCTCTTGTAAATCTAACTTCTAGGTTTAGTGATATGATACCCATACCATGTTGGGTTTCTGTCTTGGTCGGATAGCAGGAAGAAGCATAGCAGGATGATGGTGAGCAGGATGATGGTGTTGCTGGTGCTGCTGCTGATGGTGATGACGGTGATGACGGTGATGACGGTGATGATGGTGATGACGGTCGTGATGCTCGTGATGCCATTGACGCAGGTGACGATTATGTTGTCACTGCCGCCGCCGCCGCCGCTGCCGCTGCTGCTGATGGTGTTGTTTGTGCTGCTTGTTGTTGTTTTTGTTGCTGCTGTTGTCGGACTTTTGGTTACCTTTCGGCATCAGTGTCGGAAGGATTGCTACGACTCAGGCTGCTGGTGTTCCAGTACAGCTCGCTCAAGCTCTCCAGACACCCTGCCTGCTTGTGATTCATGTCTACCGGTGTTCGCGCGCAGGCGTAAATCTCGGACCTTAGATCCGTGAGGTTTTTGGATTCCAGGCCATACTATTATTACTATTATTACTATTATTATCATTATTATTATTATTATCATTAATACTATTAATTATCATTATTATTATTACATACATGCACAAGGTCACTAGGCCAAGACCTGAAGCCGAAACCTGACCATCGCAATCTCCCAGAGGTGCGAGTTTAGGGGGCAGGGCTGTTGAGTGTCGTGGGATGCCCTGCAAGAGATGTGAACTGTCCCACATTCCGGGGGAGCAGAGAACGTGGATCAGTGCATCTGCCTAAGATCTGCATTCAGGCAGACTTTGATTTGTGCATATACCTTGACGCCAACAAAACTGAACATATCATACGTAGACCTGAGCTGCGTAGACAAATGAGTGGACGCGATTGGACGCGCAGATGCATGTGGAGTTTGTGTACAGTATGTGTGTCAGACTTGTGTGGAGGATGATGTTATACGCCTCGAGCAGTCTGAAGCTCGTTCAGGTTTGGGTCTGCGCAAGCCGAGGAAGCATGCATCAACGTGCTCTTTGGGCAGTGATCCGATCTCCCATGTCCTGGCATGACACGACGCCGACGGGCCGTGTCGTGAATCGCCGCCCGTCGATTTGGAAGGTTTGATTTTGGACCAGGTTGAGCTCTTGCCAGCACTTCATGGATGTGTTCTTGCAGTCTCCAACCCTACCTGGAGGGTCGGGGGACTTGGTAAGCAGCTACCTTATGAGGTTTAAGCCAACTAGGATCAATCTTTCAGATGGACTGTCAGTTCTGCAAGCTAAGTGCTCATCAACCCCCCAAGTAAAATCTTCACCTCGCATACATTGTCTTGCCTTCCCACTAGGGAAACGTCTGAGGTCCGACTGCTTCTCCGGCCATTTGTCCACCCAACACACAGAGAACCACACTCCTTCAAACAGCAGCCCCTAACTGAAGCCTCAAGCCTAACAGCGCCTTCTTTGATTGCCACGTGCCTGCTGTACGGTGCTGCTTCCATTCGACATTAACCTCGTGCGCAGATTGCAAGAGTGCTGGAAGGCTTCTCTTCAGACTTGCAGAAAGTCGACACCGACCTCCAGAACAATGTCACGGCGCTGCTGCGTGCCTTGCATCCTGGCAGCATTTCCTATCCAGAGTGGGCTATGGATCTCCAAAACCTGACTTCGGGGGCTTTGAGGGTCAGGGCCAAGGCATGTGTGTCTGTGGCTGGCCGAACACGAGGTATGCTTTAGATGACTAGCCGGCTATGAGTTTGTAAAGCCGGCATCCTTTATTGAGGGGCTTCCACCCAAGCCCCAAAGGCCCCAAAGGCCCTAAACCCGAATCTCAACAGACCTCGAAACACATGCCTCGCCTGGACTATCCGAGTGTAACCGCCGAAAGCCTAATCCATCGTCTCTGGGCAGGTTCGACATGCTCGCGAGCTTTCTTGTGGTGCTCTTCGTGGTGCCTCTGATCTTCGTGGTGGTGATTCCGTCGCTGATGGCCTACTTTTGGATTCAGAAGATCTACAGGCACGTACGGTCTGGAGCAGCAGTGTGGTTGTGGTTGTTGTTGTTGTTGTTGCTGTTGTGCTGCTGCTGGTGGTGGTGGTGATGGTGGTAACTAGAGGTCGTGGTGGTGGTGGTTGTTGTGTACTAACTGGAAGCAGTGGTGAGCCAGCAGTCCAGACATGCGTCTCGAATGCCATCGTCGATCGTCTTCAACGGTGTTTCTAGGCTTCGTGCCCCGATCCTTCGAAAGCAGGAAGAGTGGCCGGGAGATTCAGCGCATGGCCAGCAAGTCGTACAGCCCCATCTACCAAGGCAGGCATGACGTGAAAGTAACTCCTAGCCGGCTCACGTTTTCGGGCCCGAGCACCTCGTCCAGATGCCCGACAACCCAATCCCGCCCTCCCAGTGTCTTCATGCAGATGATTTCTACACTTAAAGCCTGAACCAATTCAGCCTCTGGTGCTAGAGCCTAGCAAGGCCATGGCGGATTTCGGCCGTAGCAGCAGCAACCACTGTGTTCACGGCCACTGGCAGAAACAAAAAAGCCACAACTCCGACACTTCAGATCTTGGAGCTTTTGAGCCGCAAGCTGGTAGATCCAACAAAAGCCACCTCGCACGGGGCTTTACACCGCGTCTGTGGCGGCTTGCAGTTCCGGATGTATGGGATTGGACTCTGTGCTTAGGCCTCGTTCGGGGGGTCTACCCAGAGACTCCCATATCCCTTAATTACGGAATATACCTTAAATCATATTAAGGATCCTACTATAATTTACGGTATATTCCTTAATTGAGGGATATCGGAGTCTCTGGGTAGATGCTGTAGGGGTTTAGATTGTCGTTTGCGCCACGTTGGGCCCAAAGCAGTCGGTTCCCTTCTTTGCTCTTCCGCCACCCTCAACCAAAAGACGTTTGGCTCCTCAAGCTCCGATCCGGTCCTAGCGACGTAAAGGGAACTCCAGAAAGTTGGAATATGGATTAATGGTAGGATCCCCTATAATTTACCTTAAAGGGGTTACGATAATGATATTCCAACTTTCTGGCTTCTACCTGTAACAAGCCCTTCATGTAAAAAGCTGAAGACGACCTCAGGGACCCGGACGTCTCAGGGCTTCAGCTGGCAGTTTAGGGTTTTGGGTTTCAGGGTGGAGTGTTTGTGGGAACCCCTAAGCTTCTCAGCCGGTCTTCCGGCTTGCTTGGAGGTTTATGGGTAGTTATAAGTGGGGTTGTAAGTCCCCTAATATCGGTTATAAGTGAGAAGTATAGTTACTAGCACCCTCAACCCATAAACCCCAGAAGCCTTAAATCGGATCTTCAAAATTGATGGCCCTCTCAGTGATCCACTCAGTATGAGAATCTCGTTTTTGAGGCAAAATAGCTTGAAGCACAACTTCTAGTTTGCTTCGACATCGGAGTTGGGGCGTAAGCTTCCGGGGTGACAGGGATCCAGGGCTGAGGGTACCGCGTTCAGCCAGGTGTTGACGAAGCTATTGCTGGAGTGGCGACCATCCGCGCTTACGAGATTCTAGGATGCTTTCGAGAAAGAGCTTTTCTTGATTTCTTTTGCATAAAAATTCCGAAAACGTTTTGGCAGCCTTGCTTCTTCAACGTCAAGCTTGGAACCGAACTTTACTGTACCTCTGACAGGTTTTTTTACTGTCAATCGCAGTCCTCTTATTCGCCTGATTGCTGTGGGTGTGATTACTGGCACTATGCTCTTGCATATGCTGTAAGGTTTACATTGCCTTACGTGTCTGTTCCATGATGCAAACCCGCGATTTATCAATCTGCCTATGTCACATGGGGTTTGAATCGGCTTCTGCGTTTCAAAACTTTTTAAAAGGGTCTACATTACTCATTCGAGCCATGTCGGTGTATCTACGTGCCCCAAGGAAGCAGCAGTACTTCAGCGGCCGGAATGCCGCGAGGATATCTCGGAGTGTCCGCCTGGCTTCTAGACTGCAGTCTTCCAGATCCCAAGCCCCCTGAGGATATATAGGGGCGTCAATAAGTACCCTGTTATGATTCTAGTCTGATCCCTATTCTACATTTTTAAGGCTCCTATTTTGTTTGGGTTCAGACCAAATTCGTCAGGGTGAATTCAGGATCTAGCGTTGATGATTGAGGTGCCGATGACCGCATTGACGTCTGTTGAGTTTTTGCACTCGTTCCCGGATCTTCGCTTGTCCAACACGTCTAGTTGTGAGTGCTGAAATCCTGGCCTGTCAGTTATCTTGTGGTACAATAAACCCTTCTAACATTTTTTGCATCCTGATTTCTTGTATCCTGCAACCTAAATACTAAGCCGTTATGGAGATGCCTTGAAGATCTTAGGACGCCCCTCTAACACCCCCATCAAAACGCTTTGGAGCGTCGTGTCTCGAGGATCTCACACTGCAGGGCTGCCAGCGATGGCTTGGCTTCCGCCTGACTCCTCGGCTGAAGGGTTTTGGGTTTTTTTTTGGAAGGGATCCCCTACCTTAAACTACCAAACCCTACTTTTTTGTAGGTTCTTATTATAAACCCTAATATGGAATTTCTAGGGACCCTACAAAAAAGTAGGTTTTCGTAGGTTATGGTAGTCAAGGGACCTATGAGGGTTACTATATGGGTACATTGGGGTTTGGGAGTCTGGGGGGTTTAGGGGCTGAGGAATTTGGTTAGGGCTTCAGGGTTTAGGAAAAGAGATCAGCTCGACCCTCCTCCTATTGTCTTCTAGACTTGGTGGCCGGCAGTTTAGACCAGAGCCCACCAGTTAAGAACACGCATTTGCGTGCATTTGTAGGTGTGCATTTACTCCATCCATCCCTCCATCCATCCATCCATACATTCATTCACGCATGTGCCGGCGTGAGTAGAGAGACACTGATAAAACACATATACATTCGTGCATACATACGCACATACATGCATACGGACACTGGCGAACACAGACACAGACACACAGACACACAGACACACAGACACACGGACACACAGACACACAGACGCACAGACACACAGACACACAGACACACAGACACACAGGCACACAGACACACAGACACACAGACACACTGGCACACAGACACACAGACACACAGACACAGACACGACACACACAACAGAGACACAGACACCCAGACACACATCCACACACACACACACACACACACACACACATATATATATATATATATATGCGTATATTTGTATATATATATATATATATATACACACCTTTCTATGATTGTATATGTATATACACATAGATTTATAGATGCCTGTATGAGTACCAAACGCCATAGCCGCATCCATACATGCACGGGTACACACATACGTGCGTGTATACATACATATAATGTACATACATGCACCCATGCCTACATACATATGTATACAGATACATGCACACCTACAGGCGTGACTTCACTCGTGCAAATCAACACAGCAGCAGAGACACTTTCTCACATACATGCTTACATACATACATTCATTCATGCATTCATACAAAAATACACAAATACAGACATACAAGCATATCGACATCGTGCCCTTGCATTGCGAGACTCTTGATGATGGCACGGCAGAGAGAGAGAAGCATATCGACATACCTTCCAGAAAAGACATACGCATGCACACATACATACAGACATACAGGCATACAGACATACAGACCTACATATACATGCCAAACACATACACACACACACCAACACCTGTATGTCTCTTTCCCTATTCGTGAGTGCGTGTGTGTGTGTACATATTTCTGGCAGCATGTCGCAAGTCTGTGCTAAGCCCTCACGCGCCTCGGCTAAAAGCCTCCAGGAAAATGTTGGGAGCTGGCATTTCGTCGATGGTGGCACTCCTGGTGCTCCGACCTGAGGAAGCATTCGGAAGAGGATCACTTGCGTGTAGGATGGTTAGGGTTCAAAAGGGTTTAGCGTTTTTCGGCTTTTGGGATCATGGACTTAAATTTAGGATTGAAGGTGTAAGGCACTTTAGGCTTGGGTTCAAGTTGTGAAAGTGGCGGAAGTGGGAAGAATCGTCGGAGGGGTTCTTCGGTGCTGGCATCCAGCAGGGAGTTGTGGCGCGTTGCAGCTTTCGAAGCCCACGCAAACTCGTGTGAGATTTCATGGGCTAAGGGTTTAGGGTTTAGGGTACTGCCTTTCCAGGGGTCAACTGGAGCTTCTGAGCGCTTCTGCAAGGAATTCAGACTTCGTTTGCTTGTTGGGATCCCCGGACTTTAGCCGCTTGTTGTGTGGAGTGGCCCGGAAATAAGACTGGTTTTGGCCGATGTTCGAGTGTGAGTGCCCCATCCCTCGCACACATTCGTTCCATTTTGCAAGCGGCCTGTGTCCTGAATCGTTTTATCTTTCCCTCCTGCAACCCCTGTCGCTGACATCCGAATGCTGCTGTATCGCTGCCCTAAGACCCTGAACCCGAACCCTCAGACCCCGACCCTACAGACCCAAACCCTGAAGTTTCAAACGCGTGTAATTAAGCTAGAGCCTAAACTCCACGCCCTAAGCCCTACAACCCTAAAGACTGAAGTGAAAGCCCAAAGCCCTGGAAACGCCAAGCCCCAGAACTCTGAACCCTGTTCCGTAGTGTGAACGCCGAAGACCGTAAACCCTCATACTCATCCCTAACTCTCATCCTAATGATTAAGCACTAAACCCCAATACCTAAACCCTAACCAATAATCCCTGAACCCAAAACCCTAGACCCCTAAACCTCAAATCCCCAAACCCTAAACCCCTAAACCCTAAACCCTAAACCCCTAAACCCTAAACCCCTAGATCCCTTATAGTAACCCTTATAGACCCCTTCCTTTCCCAAATCCCCAAACCCTAAACCCCAGTCCCTGAGCCCTGGAAGGTGGTCCTCCACAGCTACCTCGGCCCACTGGGCCGCTCCATCTCAGGCTCTTGGGCTCCTTTACCACCACCCGCTACTACCACTCGCACTAGCACTGCTACTAGTAGTCGTGGTAGTAGTAGTAGTAGAAGTAGTAGTAGTGTACCACTACTACTACTACTACTACTGCCACTGCAAAAGCGCTGGGGCTAGTGCTAGTGCTAGTAGCACTAGGACGTGCTAGTGGTAGTGGTCGTGCTAGTGCTTGCTAGTGCTGGTGCTAGTACTAGTACTAGTACTCGTACTAGTACTAGTACGACTACGGCGACCACCACCACCACCATTACGAAAACGACGGCGACCACTACTACGACTACCACCACTGCTGCCAGTACTGTTTCTGCTACTGCCGCTGCTACTGCAGCGGCTGCTGCTGCTGCTGTCCTACTGCCACAACCGCGACGACGACCACGACTACTGCTGCACCGCCAGCATGACTGACAAGCAATGTTTGTGGTAGCAATGGCCGAACCGTGGAATGCAACTTACGACCGCTCTTTCGAAGTACGGGATGTGCCATTCTCAGCTCCATGCATCCCCAAATCCCAAAGCCTCGAAGCCGCCCTGGAATCATGGCGTAAGCCCTTACCCTCACTGCTCAATTGAAACCAGAACTTGTGTCCCCGGTTCTAGGCCCCGCCGCCGGCGTGGCCCTGCGTTATGCGCAGCAGCTGAGCAATGCCCTCGAAAGTGATTCGGAAGCACTCTTTGGGGTTCGTGTTTCGGGCTTTGGGGCTGAAGTTGGGGTATGGTTCGTCCGCCGAAAATGGTCAGAGTCTGGGAGTTTAGGTTCAGGTTTAGACTTCAGCGGTCAGGCCAGTCGAGCTTCGCCTAAGCCTATGCCCGGTGTTCTTGGAGGATTAGGTCGGGTAGTTCAGTATGGATGGCAGCGCTGTAAGTAGGGTTGTCATTCCAGTCAGTACATACAAGATGCCGTTCATCACCCAGGCCCCAATTTTCTGAATATGTCTACTCAGGCTCCGATGTTTGGGAGTTTACGACTTGATTGTAAAATGTATTGCTCTCGATGTATTTATTCACAAGTCGTGTTAGTGGTATCAGTAGCAATCTCGCTCTTTTCAGTACTATCGTCTTATGCATGGTGATTTGGCTGTTCTGTGCATGTATTCATGCTACTATGTCCTTAAGCGTAGTATATCACGAACCCTGGAAGCCTATCCTAGTACGCACTTGAGAAAGATTGGCTTTAAACACCCTCTTAAACTGGGAAGTATTTTGAGACCCAATGAAATTTCCTTTATGGCCTTGTAAATGTAACTATCATTAGATACCGTTGGGGATTTCCTGAAACTACTCCCCAGCAAAGCCCTCAACCCTATGCCTGAACTCCCGGCCCACGCACTAAGGCATTCTCAACAACCTCACCAGCACGGAGCACTGAAGCAGCATTTCTGGCCCAGGGTGGCTTCCTTCTGAAGTGTAATTAGAGTTCAGTGTTTGGGGCTTCAGCACACGAGGACACGCCAGTCAGGGTTTGAGACCTTGCTGCTCTGCAGGTAAGGCCTGGCTTTGGGCGGATTGCTGTGTGGTTCACGGGTCTGAGGATGACTGCTGCTTCCGAACTCAGATTATATTGGGGTTGGGGGTTCAGGCTTGAATTGCGTTTGGGATGATGTCGATGACACCTGCTTCTGTTTCATTGGTTTCTGTGTCGTTGGGTGGCATCGGATCCTGAAATCATTCAGGTTTCCGGTGTTGTCGGATCGCCACGTGTGTGCAATCAGCAACGGCTTACATTGCCGGCCGGGGCCACCCGTATGTGGTGCCAATGTAGTGGAGGCTCAACAAGCCTCGTCTTGGATTAACGCCATGCTGCGACGTTTGGTTGCACCCGTACCCCCAGGGAGGGCACACCACTTCATGACGTCGGCGATTCACCATAGGGCTGGCCTGTAGGAGCAGAGATTCAGAAACTCACCAGCGTTTGGTGCGGTACATGCCTTAATGATGAGGATGACGATCATGAAGACAATGCGACGTTCATGATGAGTTCAGGAGTCCCGAAGCCACACGCCATACCCCATGTATACCCTGCCCTGAGGCAGTGCCTGGTGGCTGTTGAGCGGCTCACGACCTACTCAGAGCTGGAGGCTTGAAGCCGAAATACCGACGACCTGAACCATACGGCCACGCAAATTATCGAATGACCTCTACTACTGCTGCTACTACTGCTACTGCTACTGCTACTGCTAGTACTACTAGTCTTGGTAACACTAGTACGACTGGTTCTACCGGTTCTACTGGTAACACTAGTACTACATGTACTACCAATCAGTACTACCAGTGCAGTACCAGAACTAGTACTAGTAGTAGCCGTAGAAGTACCAGAACCAGAACCAGTGCCAGTGCTACTGCTTCTGCTACTGCTTCTTCTACTGCTGCTACTACTACTACTACTACCACTACCACTACCACTACCACTACTGCTACTGCTACTGCTACTTCTACTGCTACTGCTACTGCAACTGCTACTGCTACTGCTACTGCTACTGCTACTGCTACTGCTACTGCTACTGCTACTGCTACTGCTACTACTACTACTACTACTACTACTACTACTACTACCACTACCACTACCACTACCACTACCACTACTGCCACTACTGCCACTACTGCCACTACTGCCACTACTGCCACTACTGCCACTACCACTACGAGGACGACGGCGACTACTTCTACTACTGCTACTACTACTACTACTACTACTACTACTACTACTGCTTCTACTACTACTACTACTACTACTACTGCTGTAGTGCTCTAACACTACTCATTTTCAACAACTGAGTATAAAGAGTAATCAAACAAGTCCATAATTGACTGGAGTTTATGTGATATCAAGAAGGAAGCACTCCAATGTAAACCCGCAGGACGAGGGTTCGCTGGACACCGCAGAGTCCGTTCCCTCAGTAGAGGCGCGGTTCGGGCTCTCTTTGCTTGTTGGGAGTTCCCGAAAATTGGGGGTACCTTATTTTGGGTCCTTACAATAAGGATCCTACTATTTAGGGTACTATATTAGGGTCGCCTATTTTCGGAAACTCCCTCTTGGGCTCCCGCAGGGTTTTATGAAGGTATTGCAGGTTCTTAAGGGCTTCAGGCTTTGCGAGAGGTAACGATTCCGAAGATTTTTGCGCCCTGAAATCTACAACCCCGAACCCAAAGCCCTACTCTGGATGATGACGTTGCAGAGGCCTTAAAGAACTGCCACAGGAATCCTTCGAGGAACCCTTAAAGGAACTCTTGTAGTACCCACCAGAGCCTTTGGGAGAGCTTCTAGGAATCCGCCGTCCCAAGCCCTACTTACCCGCCAATATCCCTAAAAGAGGCATATACCTGGAATCATCATCGGGATCCTACTGTAATCTACTGTGTGTTAGAACCCCCTAAACCTTAAACCCCATAGATCCGTTAAAGGAACCCTAGCTATTCGTTAATTTAGGTATATTGGAGTCTCTGCGTAAGGCCGATAGCACGGGGAAGCCTTGAACAACGCGAGGGAAGCGTCTGTTTCGAGAACGTGGTGATGCGCTATCGGGAGGATCTTCCGACGGTGCTGCCGCTGGGATCGTACAGAGATTTCGAAAGGGTTTGTTTAAAGGGCTTTATGTGAGGTCATAGGGTTGAATTTCAAGGCTTACTCTAATTCTAGTATGTACTCACTGTTGTCTTTAACAAAGTAGCTTGATGATGATTGCGACGATGAGTGGCGTTGGTGTTGAATTCAGTTTCCGTGGTCACGTGTGATTCTTCTCCCCATGCTGATTGTTGAATCTCCAACCTCGCGCCTGTTCACCGAAACACCCTGAGGCATCGAATGGTACCCAGAGACTCCAAAACCCCTTAATTAAGGAATATACCTTAAATTATGAGATGATCCCTTATATGACTTAAGGTATATTCCTTAATTAAGGGGTTTTGGAGTCTCTGGGTAAGCACCTTGCAGCCCCCAAGCCTCGACCCGTAAACTAGAAACCCCACCGCGAACCCCCAAACCCCCAAACCCCCAAACCTTGTCGCCCGAACCCGAGATCAAAAGCCCAATAATATAAGGGCCTTAATAGTTAGAATTGGGTTTAGGGGTATATGATACTAGAATTGTTTTGGGTACAACCTCTGCTAAGCTTTAATCACCGTCCTCCTGAAACATAAGCCACCACTGAGCCCTCCTCAGTACCCTTAAAGATCAGTCTCAAGTAAACCCCAAAAAAGTTGGAAACCGGAGTAAGGACAATTAGTGCTGGGATTCCCTGTATATGACTCTGACGGATTGAGGCTATTCTGTTTCCAACTTTTGGGCTTCTACTGTAGGTCCCCCGAGGTGATGTAGAGGTCTTCAAGGCCTTGTAAAGCCCATACACCAAACCCTGCGTGAAGGATCGCACTGGTACGAAGTATCTGTCGTAGAAGCCAGACAGTTGGAACATCATTCTCCTCATGCCCTTAAGGTACATCATAGGGGATCCCGGCACGAATCCTCCTGAAGCCATGTTCCAAGTCTCTGGCCTCTACTATACTAGAAAAGGACCCAAACCCTAAACCTAAAACACTAAACTTCGGGTACTGCCCCCACTCAGTAACAGTTGGATATTTTCATAATATAGATATAGTAGGCCCTTAATAGTAGCCTTATTATAGACTATTACTGTCTGGGGGCAGTACCCAAACTAACCATTAAGCCCTGAAGCGGCTGATGCGAGAGTCCAAGCCCTAACGTCCCGCCACCATGAGCTCCAGATCTGCCTGAGGACTCCAATATCCGTATACCTTAGGGTTCCGTAAAGGGTTCCTGAAAGGGATCTATAAGGGGATTGAGGGATATGCCGTAAATCATATTAGGGATCCTACTCTCATTTAAGGTATACTTTAGAAGCTGCCCCCACCCTGTAATAGTGGTATAATAGGAATATAATGGGGCCCTAATATAATCCTATATAATCCTTATAGTCACTATTACAGGGTGGGGGCAGCTTCTAAGGTATACTCCCTGATGAAGGGATATTGGAGTCTTTGGGTGCCCCAGGCGGGGTCTGAGCTTCTCCATCCCCGGTGGCTTCTTGGAGAGACCCTGTCAGAGGGTTCCTTTGAAGGGGTTCCTTGAAGGTACTTTGAAGGCTTCCTTTAAGGGATCCATAAGGGCTCCTTTACGGGATCTACAAAGCTTCTTTTAAGGAGTCTTTAGAGGTTCCTGCAGGGGTTCCTTGGGGGGTCAGGAGGAGTTCTATACGGGTTCAGGACGCAGAGTCTTCAGGTCTCGTGATGCGAGATTTCGAATCGGGTTGTTGAGGTTTAGGGTGTCGAATCTGCGGTTTCACGAGGGTTGGGATTTAGCTTGGAGAACTTTAGGAGACAGGATTTAGGGTTTTGAGGTCTAGGGTTTAGGGCTGTCGGGCCCGAAGGCTTCGAGGTGTGAAGTATGGAGTCTAGATCTTTGTTGAGGTTCAGGATTAGGTATTGAAGTTGCAGTGGGCCTTTTGGTTGTCGGTTTCAGGATTCGCCGCTGTTTAGAGGTTTAGCCTTTCGGTTTTGTGAGCTTTCAGTTCTTGGGCATCTTCCGACTAGTAGCTCTCCTTCAAGTTGGGTTAACGAGAAACGGTTGCGGCTGCTTAATGGCTGTAGCTACCGCGGTAGGGAGGTCTTGTTGTTCGTGTTGTTGTGGAAGATCGGAAGACTTTTCTATGGGAGGAAGAAGTGGTAGCTGCGAGAGGAAAGGAGGCATGAAGGTACGCACGGGATTAGCACTGGCGGCAGAAGAAGGAAAGGTAGAGAAGGCGAAAGTGTTGACGCAAGAGCAACCTATCACCCGAAACAAAAACCTAAACCCCGGACCCCAAAGCCCCAGAAGCAACCCTGAACCGTGAGCCTGACATGGAAGGAGATGACAGGGAGGGCCGTGCAAGATCGATGTGGTGTTTGGAGTGTCGGGTCTTCGGGCTCAGCTTTAGGTTTCACCTAAAATCTGGAGGGTTTTGAAACCTACACCGTGACCCTTAAACCCTAAACCCTGAACCCTGAACCCTAAACCCTAAATCCTAAACCCTTAAGCCCTTGTGTTTTTGCATCTTCGCCCAAAAGCGCGAGGTTCGAGCCTCGGAGTGGTAGGCCGCACCGGCGCAGGGAAGAGCAGCCTTCTCCAGGCTCGGGATGTCCGAGTTTTTTCATCGGAGGCCAAAAGGGGTTTTAGCCTATGGGGGTTTAGTACACCACCAAAACCTTCAGACATTGCTAGCGACACTAACACTGACAAAAAGACAAGAATACTTAGAAGAAGGAGAACAACAACAGCGACAGCAACAGTACCAGCACCGGCATCAGCACCAGTACTAGCCCAATTACCAGCAGCAGCAACAACAACAGCAACAACAACCACAACACCAACAACACTCACGGGAACGACGACGTCGACGACCGAAGACCGACTAACTGCCACCAGCAGGAGTGGTGGCAGGAGTAGCAGGAGGAGGTGGTGCTGGACAACTCTTTTAGTATCAATAGTTGCTGTAGTAGCGGTGGCAGTAGCGGTAGCAGTAGTGGCAGTAGTAGTAGTAGTAGTAGTAGTAGTAGTAGAAGAAGTAGAAGTAGAAGAGGTATTTGAAGTTAGTAGTAATGGCAGCAGCAGCAGCAGCAGCAGCAGTCGTAGAAGCAGCCGGGCCAGCCGCAGAAGTCCTGACAGCAGCAGGAGCAGGGTGGCATTTTACGAGACATCAAATCAACTCTAGACTCTAGGCCCAAAGCTCTACAATAAACACCAATAAACCGCCGCATAGCTCTACAGTAAGAGCCAATAAACCGCCGCACAAGACGGCAAGCGCGAATCTCCCACAACCCTAGAGACTTACACATAAACCCTGAATCAGGCCCTCTTCCGCATGTGCCGGGGCCCCGGAATGGTTTTCTCCCAAGAACACCGCGATTTGGATTTGGGGCTTAATTCGTTTCGGGTGTGTGGTTTGGGTTTAGGCTACAGGACTTCATCATATCGGCTTGGGGTTCAGGGTTGCAGGCTTTAGGGTTTGGCGTTGAGGGTTTGGGTGTTGGTCTTGGGGAAGTATACCATAATGAGCCTTCAAGCTCTATTCTATTTCTCAAGGCCCCTAGATTGTGTCAGTCGCGGTTTCCTGAGTCTTGGTCGTAGTTTCGTGGCGCGTGCCAGTTCGATGGTAATCCACTAAGATGGTGTTGCTTTTCAGATCCCTCACAAAGCCTGAGCGTGCTAGTAGTTGCTTGCATACAGCAAGTCCAGCTTATAAACCAAGGGCTGTATTGGTTTAGGGTTCAGGGTACTTTGCAAAACATTATCCCCGGGGCACAAAGTTTGAACAGTGTCGACTCGAAGCATACGCTTCAGGGCCCGTGTCGATTTTCCGTGAGTAGGTTGACGATCTAGAAGCACCGCCCTTGCACACAACGCCCTGTGCCGAGGCCCTATCGAGTCTGGCACGATCCATCTCTACGGCAAGGCAAGACGGCACGACGACGTCAAGACTAGATCATGGCTGTTTGCATATCGGATTTTCCGAAAACTAGGGGTACTTTATTTCGGGGTCCTTATAATAAAGATCCTACCATTTGAAATTTGAGGCACTATTTTAGGGTCCCCTATTCTAGGAAACTCCCTTCTTGCATCTCCAGTCGGGCACAAGCCTGGCCTGGAGTGTGCGAGTGCGAGCGGCAAGAAGCTGCGGCCCCCTCATCCCACGCCGAAGCCTCGCCCCCAGACCCTGAGCCCCAGAACTTTAAACCCGAAGCCCCAAATTCTATTCCCTAGACGAAAGAGAACCTAAACCCTAATACACCCCCCCAAAATGCACGAAAAGACTCCAACAAACCCTCAATGCCAAGCCACCGAAATCTTAAATTCAACTTAAAACTCTAAACCCCTAAACCCAATACCCCTAAGCCCTAAACCCCAAAGCCTATACCCGCCAATGTGCTGGACGCATGTGTACCCGGATCCTCGCCTGCTTGTCTAGTTGTGAGTGCTGAAAGCCTATACCCGCCGACAGCTGATGCGAAGAGCCTGCACTTGGAGGGTCGGGGGGCTTAGTAACTGGTTTTTTTGGGGACTTATAAGTACCATAACCCCAATTAGGGTCCCTTTTAGGGTACTTATAAGTCTACTTACTACCTACTTACTAAGTCCCCCGACCCTCCAAGCAGGACGTCTCGGGCCTCGGGCTCCACACGCTGCGCAAGGCCCTGGCCATCATCCCCCAGGATCCCGTCGGCCCTTGGGTTCAGGAAAGCTTAGGGGTACTTTCAAGCAGTTTTTAATTTTGGGTCTTTATAATCCCCAAGAAACAGCTAAAAATATGATTTTTGCTAGGGTTCCAAGTTCAGTATAGAAAGGAAGTCCTTTCCTTCGGATATATTGGGGGCTTAGGGTTGCATGGGTTGCAAGGGTGTAGGGTTGAAGTATTCAGGGTTTCGGGTAGTTCGGGTGTAGTGTTGAGGGTATTTCGGGTTTAGGGTTTATGGTTTAGAGGGCTTCATTGGGGTATATAGTATATACTGTAAGTTGTAGTAGGATCCCTAATGTGATTTAAGGCGAATTCCTTAATTAAGGGGTAATTGGAGTCTCTGGGAAGCCTTCCTCTCCGAGGTTTGTAGGGCTCCTCTTTGGGGTTTCTAAGGTTCCTATTTAAGTTTTAGGGTTCCTATTCGGGGCTCCAGGATGCCATAGGTGCTACTTAGAGTTCAGGGTTCAGGAAGCCTTCCTCTGTGAGGTTTGGGGATTCAGGGTTGAGGCTTTCGGATTCCTGTTTGAGGTTTAGAGTTTAGGGTTTAAGAAGCCGAGGGGGGCCGATACTACATGCCTGGCTTGCAACCTGGAGTTGAATGAGATATTGATGTTTATGAACCAGTACTGTCACAGCCACTTCAAGCAGAAAGTTGTCATGTTCGACTGCGCTTTTGACAGCCTTCAGAACAGCTCCACCCACCACCCAAACGCCCAAAAAAATCCTTCGCCCTAAATTTTAAATTTTAAGCCCAAGATCCAAGGTTTCACCGGAACTGTCCGCTTCAATCTCGACCCCTTCACTCAGCACGATGACCAACGCCTCTGGCAAGAGCTCGAGAAGGTGCTGCAGTACACGACAAAACCTGAAACTTTCAACCCGGAGCCCTTTTGGAAACCCTACTGCGCAGAGCCCTTGCAAGACTCTTAAAGTTCAGAAGGAACCTGAACCCTCACCTCCTACATCCTGAGCCTCACGAAAGTCACAGAGTCATTGCGGGGCTGGTGTGAGATCCGCCGAAGTGGCCCTGGCCAGGCAAAATCGGGTAACCTCGCACTCAACCCCTCAACCCCTACCAGCCCTAAGCACTAAACCCTGAACTCTTCAACCCCCATCCGCAAACCCATCGGAAACTGTGCGCGAGTGTGCGCGTCGAAGCCCTAGGTGCTAAAGCCCGAAACCCTGAACCTTAATGGACCCTAAACCCTAAAACCCTAAACTCTGATCCCTAAACCCTGATCCTTGTAAACCCTAAACCCTAACCGAGCCTAAACCCGAAACCCTCGCCGAACCCCTTAAGCCCTAAACCCTAAACCCTAAACCCCAAAACCCTCACCGAACTCCTTTGAAGCCCTTATCAGACCGAGGAGCAGGGCCTCCAGCAGTCGAATTCGCATCGCAGAATCCCCCCCCGAAAACATGGGTCTCAGAGACTCCAGGCTTTTATGAAGGAATATGCCTTAGATCATATTGCGGATCCTACTATAACTTAAAAGTATATTCCTTTAATGAAGGAATAGACCATAGATCATATTAAAAGAATCTAAAGAAATATTCCTTAATTAAGGGAGATTGGAATCTCTGGGAATGCTCGAACCCCAAATAACCTACCTTTTGCAGGGACCTATCTGGGTGGTTGTCAAAATTAGGATCCCTTTTTGGGTCCTTATTATAGTACGGCACCTAATATTTCGGGTACCCCCAAAAGGGGCCAGAATTTTGCCAACTACCCAAAAAAGAAGTTCAGAAGATGGAGGCCCTAGAAGGGTAAGTTGCAGCTCTCTCGGCTTCAGGTGCAGTTGAAGGCGCACTTCCAGGTCCCCATACTGAAATTCTTGGGCTTCGGGTGTGTGGTTTAGGGCTTTAGGGTTAATTAGGCTTTGGGGTTTGGGGGGTTGGGGGGTCTAGGGTTAGGGCTTTGTGGCTTGGGGGGTTTAGGGCTTCGGGTTTGTGGACAAGGGTTAGGGCTAGGATATTTGGATTTAGGCTTTGAGGCTTCTGGATTTGCAAACCATGCCGGTAGTGTGCAGGGTTGAGGGTTTCACAGGGCTTTCCTATCGCAAGGCTTCTGTCAGGATTTGTGTTTGAAGTGTCTTTTGGAGCTTGTATGAGTCTAGGCTTTCCCAGCAAGAAGCCTAAGCCCCGAATCTTCAATTCCGAACCCTAAACCCTAAAGCCCGTAGTCTCAAACCCAAAAGCTCAAAACACACCTGCAATCCTTTGACCTGCAGAAACCCCTAAACCCTAAACTCTTAAACCCTAAGCCCTAAGCCTTAAACCCTAAGGTCTGAAACCCGAAACCCTTAACACACCCTTGCACCGTTTTGTCCGCGTTTCCCTGCAGCTCGGAGGCCAAGGAGGAAGGTCTTGACTTCCAGGTCTCCTCCGGGGGCGAAAACCTTTCTGCACCTGGGCCTCCGTTTTCGGGGAGGGGTATATGGTATGGATGCATGTGCGGATACGACTATATATGCATGTATATGTACATATACACACATGATAAATAAATAGATAAATATATATATATATATATATATATGTGTGTGTGTATATGTATATGTTTACGTATCTCTCTCTCTCTCTCGTGCTCTCTCCCTCTCTCTTTCTCTCTCTCTCTCTCTCTCTCTCTCTCTCTCTCTCTCTCTCTCTCTCTCTCTCTCGCTCTCTCTCTCTCTCTCTCTCTCTCTCTCTCTCTCTCACTCCCTTTATGAAGGTCTGGTTTTCATATTTCAAGCGGAGTTTTAGGGTTTGGGGGGCTAACTGCTCCTGACTTGACTCGTGTGAGACCCCACTAAGCAAGGAAGGGTGTCAGGGTCGGGTAGGGTTTTGACGGGCTTGGGGGTTTCAGGAGGTTGATTCTTGAAGGGTTTCCAGAGGTCTTCCGCGGAGAAAAAGCTGTGGTTCAAGATGCAGTAGGGCTTGAACCACTAAATCCCGGGCGCAGGGTCCAGGGGCAGGGCTTGTGCCACGGCATTCAGGTTTTCCGTTGGTTTTTGCTTCTATGCGATATGCTACGACCCTTCATGATGCCGGGAAGATGCGATAGGTTCGAACGTGAATCCCTTGTCTGTGAACCAAAATCCTGAACCCGAAGCCTACTCTCTAGGATAGGAACTATTTTTTTAAAACAAGGATATACCGTAGCAGGGATCTCTAGTAAAGAGCCGCTCCGCACGCCCGGCAATCTGAAAGGTTGAAATCAAGTTAACCCCAAATCCTTGAGACATCGCGATGGCAGCTACCATACGCGACGACTTGGACCATCAGCCGCAGCCTCTCCCAAAGATCATGCTGCGTAAGGCGGTGAAGTGTACCACCAGAACAAGTGCACCGCACTTTTCAGTTCCTTAAGCCTCTTGAGCCTCAGCGCCAAGCCGTGGACCCTGAACCCTAAGGTGACAATCCTTCAGAGCCTTAAGCCAAAACATGCACCAAACCCCCCAAGAAGCTGTAAAGCCCCAAACCATCCCAACCTTAAGAACCCTATATTCCCAGAGTCGTAAAATCCCTCACCCTAAAGCCTGCAAGCTTTGAGTCAAAAGCAGCCCAACTGGATCTTAGGCCTTCGAACTTTAAACCCTCGGCTTACACACCTTGTAAGTCATGTACCTCTCTCGATTACAGAATTCGTCCGCCTGAAGCCCTGAACGTCCGACTCAAGACTCCCACTAATCCTCGGACCTAGGGTTATAAATAAGGTAACTGTACTTATAGCTACTTATAACACCAATTAGGGTACTTATAACCTTACTTACTAAGTGAACAGTCCCTCGACTCCAAACCCTACACCCTCGAGCATCAAAAGTCCTTGTCAAAGCCTTAAACCCGAAACCCCGGAAGGGCTGAGATCTCCCTGAACCCCCTTAGCCCCCTTAACCCCCTTAACCTCCTTAACCCAGCACCCTAAAATCTAAACCCCAAACCCTTGAAGCACTGAAATCCCCAGCCTTTCTCCGAGGTCGGCCAGAGGCAGCTCCTCTGCTGTGCCCGTGCGCTGCTCCGAGGTGCACGGATTCTCGTCCTGGACGAAGCCACGGCCAAGCCCCGAGAAATGAGGGCAGGGATGGGCAAGAAGGTTCGGGGCATACATCATGCAAGGGGGGTGGCTATGACTATGACGCTAGTGGAGACAGCGATGACGACGCGACTTGATGCTGGTCGTCTTCGTCATTCTAGTAGCACTTGACGGTGGATGTGCCGATGGTGGTGGTGGTGGTGGTGGTGGTGGTGGTGATGGTGGTGGTGGTGGTGGTGGTGGTAGCAAAACTTGGCACCGCTAGCAGAGAAGATTCTCGTGGCAGAAGCACAAGTACCATTTATTACCAGCTAGACAGCGACGACAACGCCCACGACGACTACTTTACATAGAACTTTATCTATATGTAGACATGTGGATAGTGCAGCTAGCACACATGGATCGTTTGTTTGTTTGCACGGGTATCCGTTTATCTATCTGTCTATCTTTTTGTCTATCTATCTACCTAGCAAGCTAGCTAGTTAGCTAGCTACAGGTATGCGCATGTACATCTTTAAGAAGATATGTGTACATATAAATATACACACATACATATATACATACATACAGGCATACATACATACATATATATATATATATATATATATACACATACATGTACATGCATGTGTGTGTACATGGTAAACACATACATGTTTGTGTGCATGTGTGTATATATATATATATATATATATATATATGCACATCTGTATTTATATGTGTGTTTACATGTTCATGTGTGTATGCATGCATGTATGCATGCATGCATGGAGGTACATACATATGTGTATATGCCTATACACATGGGGCATAGATGTGGTGTGATACGTGCATATGCATACAAGGCATGCAACTTTTTCCTACACAAAGTTGTATGGTAAGAGTGTCAGCATCAGCCGTTGCCCCATGCGACACGTGAGGTTCCATGGGGAACACGAGCACATAGTAGTCATCCGAACCCTGCTACGGTGACGACCTCATGCGCTACCGTTTGCACACCTTTTAGCACAACATGCGCTCCACGTTGTTCGACGGCAGTCTTCTCGTACCCTTCGGTCCTACTTCCTCCCCAGCAGCTTTTCAGCTCAAGACGCCCTCCAGCCTGTCCGCTAAGCCCTACAGTAGCCATACTGAGGCAAGTGTGGATTTCAACACGGACAGCCTGATCCAGCAGGTGCTACGCAAAGAGGCTGGGAAGCAGTGCGTGCTGTTTACTCTTTGGCTGGTTGGTGTCTGTGATTTTTTGTGGGGTTGCTGTTTCAGACAGTTGGGGTTTTGGACCTGGGACTTGGGATGTTTATGCAGCAACCCTGGGCCCCAAACGCCTAATTAAAGCTTCAGCCCCAAGGCCCATGCCCTTAGAGGTTCCCTGAGGTTGGAGTGCCTTGCATGTGGTCGAAACCGCAGGGTCCGCCGAGGTAGCTCTTTTGGGCGGTGTGAGGAATTGGACTTGAGACTTATTGAGAGTTTAGGGTTTGGGGGAGATGAGGGTGTTCATCACAGGGGAAAAGGAGGGACCCTTAATGGGGACCCCTGCCCTAGAATGGGCTATACAATGGGTATATAATAGCTAGATTAAGGGTATATACCTAGGGGTCCTTATTAAGGGTCCCTCCTTTTCCCCTCTGATGTTCAGGACGGCAGGGTTCTTGAAGAGCTCCGGGGCCTCCCTGAGGGTGAACTCCACTTTCGGCCTTAACAGCTCTTCTGGGAGACGCCATATGGGAGTCGGATAGAGGGGCCTGAGTAGTTGGAATAGGGTTTTGGGCCCACTATACTATAATTCTACAAATATAATAAGGAGCACCCAGAAGAACATTGTGCAACATATTGGTAATTATGTTGGGGCCCTACATTGCCACAACGGCAGGCATCATTGTTGTCGGCATTGGCAACAGTGGCCATCAGTAGCTGTAGGCCGTGAGCCCGGTTGGGGTGCTGAAGAAGTCGCTGATTGGCAAGCCTTCCCGAGTCCATAACAGGTGGAAACGAAGCGGCTGACCACGATCACGATTGCGCCTTCGGCTTTGAGCAACCTTGTAGGTCCATGGAAGGGTACATAAATACAGAGCTGCAAGAAATGGTAAGAAAGAAAGGCCACTTCTTAAGGTGTAGTCCTTGTACAATGACACTATAACATACGTTACACAGGCCCCGATGTTGGTCTTGCTTAAAGTAATGAATGCTTTTGAATGCTTTTAGCTGGAGTCTGCTGGGTTATCCAGTGAGTACGAGGGTGGAGGGCCCAACCTAAGCCCAAAAGCTGCAGCCGTAGACTCCAAACCCGAAACATGCACAGGAGGCAAGAAGCCATGCTCTCAATAATTCTCAACCCTTCTGAAGATCACCCAGTTAGAAGGGGGCAGTTTATGACAAAGAAGAACAACAGGCCCGCTGCAGAAGGACGCCCCTCAAAAATCCAGACGTTAGGGACAGGAGCATACATCATCTTTTGTTTCGGAGTATGTCTCCTGTGTAACTCGTCTCTATCTATCTGTCGAGCTATCAACCTATCTACCTACCTGATTATCTATCCACCTATCTATCCATCATCTATGTATACATCTATCTGTCTGTCTGTCTATTTGCCTAAATAATTGTCTACCTGTCTATCTATCTATTCATCCATCTGTACCATGCATGTCGGCATCAGCGCTACACCGTCAAGCCGTGAAGCCCTGAAGCTCAAACCGGCAACTGGAAAGCTGCCAACATCTACCTTCATTTCTGCTGGGATAGCATCAAGTTTGAATTGGCTCCTGCAATTAACTAGAAAAACCTTGCAGCACCGATCGAACTCCCTGTGAAACCCTGGCAAATCCCAACAAGGCACAAAGAAGAATAATAGTAATAACAGTAATAGTAGACATGATATCAATCATCATAATAGCCATACTACCTGTAAGAATAACAATAATAATAACAATACTAGTACTAGTATTTGTACTAGTACTACTACTACTACTGCTGCTGCTGCTACTACTACTACCACTACTACTACTGCTACTATTACTACTACTACTACTACTACTACTACTACTACTACTACTACTACTACTACTACTGATCATGTTAATACTCATCATAATAAGAAGAATAGTAAAGGTTTCGAGGCGCAAGTTTCTTTTGCGACGCTAAGATCAGAAACAGCGGAGACATGCCTCGCCTGAGAGTCCGAGTGCGAGCCCTGAGCCGAGAAACCCAATGCCCGAAACCCCACTTGGAGGGTCGGGGGACTTAGTAACTGGTTATTTTAGGGACTTATAAGTACCATAACCCCAATTAGGGTCCGTTTGAAGGTACTTATAAGTCTACTTACTACCTACTTACTAAGTCCCCCGACCCTCCAAGCAAGCGCTACAAAGCCTTGTGAGATTCCACAGAACCCTCTGAAACCTTGCAAAAAGCACCGGTCAAAACTTGCAAGCAAGCCGATAGAACCCACAAGGAGCCTCAGGGTTGAGGGTTTTCTGGCTAGACTTGAGTCCAGGAGCCTTAATATAGGGGCCTTAATAATTAGAATGGGGTTTTGGGGTGAGTCGGACGTGAAGTCTGTTCGAGAAAATACTACAATTTTTAATTAGGAGCCCGCAAAAGAGTATTGGCAATTATTGGGGGCCCCTATAGTACACCCCTGTAATACCCCCTTACAGTAATCCTTATAGACCCCTTTAAAAGGAACCCGTAAACAAACTTTTGGGTAATTATTTAGGCCCCTATACTAAACCCCCATAATACCCACCCTTATAGTATTCCTTAGACCCTTTAAAAGAAACCCGAAAAGGAACCCTGAGGTACTTATTCAGGCCCCTGTAGTACTTGGAGGTTCATGGGTTGTTATAGGTAGGGTTATACGTAGGGTATACTTATAACCCATACTCGGGGACTTAACCCCACTTATAGCTAGCCATGAACCTCCAAGTAGGCCCTAAACCCTATACCCTTATAGCATCCCTACAGATCCCTTTAAAGGGACCCTTAGAGGAACCCTTAATATAACTACCCATGAACCTCCAAGTCGGGAACTCCATCTCGGGAGAGCCCCAGAGACTCCAGTATCCCTTAATTAGGAAATATACCCTAAGTCATAGTAGGATCCTTAACATGATTTAAGGTATATTCCTTAGTTAAGGGATCTTAGAGCACCCTAAACCCTAAACCCTAAGGACCCCTTTAAGGAACCTGGGTATATTCCTTAATTAAGGGATATTGGAGTCTCGGGAGGGCCTTCGGCTTTCAGGCGCACCGGATCTCCACCATCCTCGGGGCAGATCGTGTCCTGGTCATGGAGGCCCTCCTTGCAGGTAGGTAGTTATCAGACTTCCTTTAAAGGTCCCTTTAAAGGGATCTATAGGGATTCTATACTTCCGTTAAAGGTCCCTTTAAAGGAATCTATAGGGATTCTATGAGGGCCTACTTGGGGGTTCATGGGAAGTTATAAGTGGGCTTATAAGTCCCCTAATATGGGTTACAAGTATAGCTATCCTACTTTACAGCCCTACTTAGAACTACCCATGAACCTCCAAGTAGAATGTGGGGGTGACGTTAAGGTGTAGGGGATGTATGGGGTGCCCCAGAGGGTCTCGGGTCGGGAGAATTTAGGGGCTTATATGAGGAGTCTGGTGTAGGGATGCTCTAACCTTCGCAGGTTTAGCATGGGTGTATGGGCTGACTTCCATTGCAGAAGCGTGTCTGCTTCTGGCTTTCTTTTTCAGTGCTGGCTTGCATATGAGGTGGACAACCAAGGCGAGACCACAGGTGCTGCTGCGCCGCAAACCCTAGGCCCAAATCACAGGCTACAGGCAGGCCGAATATCTCAGAAGACCTTCAAACCTGGGACGGTTGTTGAAGAGCCCGTGCCATTTCAAGTAGGTTTGCTCAGCCTTTCTGACTCTTCGAGTCCCGCACCCCACGATCCCAAACTCCGCATGCATGACCCCAAATCCTCATCTCTAGTCTGCAAGTCCCTAAACCCTGAAGCCTAAACCCCTAAAGCCCAAACTTTAAGCCCTAAAATCCCTGAGCCGCATATCTTGCCGCAGGAGGGTTGTGCAGCTGAGTTTGGCCCCACGCAGGTGGGAAGCCAGGGGGTGTGGTGCTAGACACAGCAGTCGCAGCTGTAGTAGTAGTAGTAGTAGTAGTAGCAGTAGCAGTTTGCAGTAGCAGTAGCAGTGGCAGTAGCAGTAGCAGTAGCAGTAGCAGTAGTAGTAGTAGTAGTAGGAGTAGTAGTAGCAGTAGCAGTAGCAGTAGCAGTAGTAGTAGTAGTTGTTGTTGTTGTGACGGTAGACGAAGAAGTAGTCGTCGTCGTCGTCGACTTGTAGTCGTGGTAGTGGTGGCAGGACGTATGCAAATACCAGTAGCAGCAGAAGAAGCTGTGTCGTCATAGCAGAAGTAGTAGTGAGAGTAGTCGAGCAGTGGTATCAGTAGTTGCATCTAGACCCTGAGCCTTAAACCTTAAGCCCTACAGCCGACGCAAAGCCATCGAAACCCCAAAACCTCAGGATTCTCGGACCCTAGAAGTTCGAGGGTTTGGATTCGGTGTTTCAGGCCCCAGGGCTTGCAGTTCAAGTTTGTAGCAACACTACTTGGAGGTTCATGGGTAGATATAAGTGGGGTTATAAGTCCCCTAATCAGGGTTAGAAGTATAGTCACCCTACTTATAATCCTACTTATAACTACCCATGAAGGGATGCAGGCAAAGAAAGAGGGGAGTTCCGGGAGGTTGGGGGGATTCTTGGGGGATCCTACGGGTGATGGTATAAATCCTGCATTACCCACAGTACGGACTAGACCATCATCCCCGTAGTTTAGGCCCTTTAAGGTAAGGCAGGGTACCCTAAACCCTAAACCCTAAAAGCAGGACCCCTGATTTCGTAGCGAAGGAGATCGGGCCCCGAAGCGATTCTAGCTGGGAAGGGCGATTAAGAGGCGAACCCGGGAAGTAGAACAGCAGCTAGCAGCCGCATACTAGCGGGTCATATAGAGAAGTTTAGAAATTGGGGTTAAGGCATATGCAGAGAGAGAGAGAGAGAGAGAGAGAGAGACACGGAGAGAGAGAGAGAGAGAGAGAGAAAAAGTCTCGAACTCCCTGCGTAATAGGATCCCTGTTATAAGAGCCCTACTCGGAAGCCACCATGTCGTGCAAAGCCTGCTAAGACAGGCCCCGCTGACTTTTCCCAAGATGCAAAGCCAAGAGCAACTAATGTAGGAACTTTGTTAAGAAACCCTGGGCCTATAGTAGGATTCACATAAGCAACCCTAACAAAGGCACCTAAACTTTGACCTAAACGCTGCGACACACAATCTTTGAACCCTGCAGCCTGTAGCCTACAACCCAAACCTGTCTGCATTCCAATCCATCGACGATGCCAGGAGCTGGCAGACACAGCGTCGTCCAAGTGCGGAGCCTATGATTTTGTTAGGGCTTGGTCTGGAGTGTTAAGGGTGTCCAAGTCTCGGATGCAGGACCCAAAACCCCAAAACCGAAAATGTTGGTGTCAAACAACACCCTGAAGCCCTAAACTCAAAACCGACCTTGCAGAAGCCAGTCCACCCCAAAGGCATCTGAAGCTGAGACTTGGGTTTTCGGGTGTTTAAGGCCAAAAGCATTTAGGGTAGGGTTTCGGGTTTAGGGTTTCAGGTTTCGGGCTTGGGGTTTAGGTGCATGTCAAACTGAAACACAGCAAACGATGATAGAGTATAGAATTGCCTTCTGGTGCAATTACAAACAGGACGCAGCCTTGTCAATACCTATAGAGGTAGAGAAGCCCCTCGCTCCCAGGTGGGATCCATTGCATATAGGGTTTCGGGATGCTGAGGAGCGCATAGTGTCAGCGTTTATCTGCTTGGTGGTCCGGGTTAGGGTTGGGAGTTGATGAATTTCTGGGGGCACGCTGGCTGGGCTCTCCGAGGAGGGTTTAGATGTTCTCATTGGGGTTTAGGGAGCAAGCGCGGTACCTGGAACCGAGGGGTTGTAGCAGGAAATTTGTTTCAGGAATTTGCGGGAACCAGGCCCGGGCTTTAACAGGAACTGACAGAAACGTGGGGGCCTTGTAACGGGAACTGCCTCTCTGGGGATGGGGGTGCCGCCTCTTCCTGTGCATAAAGCATATCAAACCTGAAGCTTACAACTTCTCTGATAAAGATAAGCTGTTGACAGGTTGTACTTTGGAACGATCGCGAACGTTTCTTTAATCGATAAAATGCCTTCAGAATGCAGAGCGGGTAAATATCGTTAGAGAAGGAAGAGTCGCACATGTAAAGCTAGCTTTTTATGGAATGCCTTGCAGTATACTTTATAAGACGAAGGAAACACACAAGTTGAAACATGTGATGATCGTCGCGAACATCCTAAATCGAAAGCTACAGCAACGAATTGAAAATGTGGAGTAGCCTATACAAAAGACAAACATTGAACAAGTAAGCCAAAAACTCAACGAGCAAAGGGAGAATGTCAAACGAGACTTGATAATGTTTACCGGTATTCAGGAACTGCTAGAGAAACTCAAAGTAGCACAGCCCGCAAATGTGGAGTTGATTGTTTGGACTTGTCTTTTTTTCAAGAAAGATTTTTATAGTGGAAGCACTAATCATTTTGTACAAATAGCTTCAAGATTTCCTGATGTTTTTGCTTTCAGTGATGTAAAGTTAGTGTTTCGCTTTGTAGCTATTGCTCCACAACAGAAACTCTAAAGCCTCAACCTAAAACCAGGTTTTGGTTTCGTTGTCCGGCTGGTTTCCGTTACAACTCCTGCTGGTAACAGTTACTAAGAACCCTAAACTTGGCCCTAAACTCCAAACCCTAACTAGACGTGTACCAAGTGTCAAACCTTAAGTAGCCCCACCCCAGTTCCTGTTACGTGACCCCCTCGTTCCTGTTGCGTCGTGGTCGGTTGCTGCCAAGGGGTTGCCGTTATGTCGTACACTGGTCCCTGTTATAACCGCCACCCAGGGTTTAGGGCTCGACAAGATAACCCCAAGCAATGCTGAAGTCAGCAGAGAGCAATAGAAGAGTAGACAGCTACCCGGACAGCTGATTAGTATGTAATTCCTACTTCTGTCACTCACAGTTTATCATCGGGAGCACCGCTGGGAATCATTCATCATGACAGTCGCCCAACCGTAAGACTTCACTCACCTAAGGGGTTTTGGCAATGAGACTTAGGGCCGTTCGTGAAGAGGTTTGCGGCGCTGATCCGCGCTGCGAAAGCCGCCGAGCAGAAGACCATTTGAGGGAGTGGCGGGCTCAGAGTTTCTTTGGTGGCCTTGGGTCAGGCTGGTAACAGAAGTAGTTTCAGCCGCAGCACCCTACAAAGCAACTTGAGTCCGGGCATTAGCCCTGAAACTTGAAGCCGAAGCCCGGAGCCAATTTGGGGAGATATTTTTCCCTGGGTTTACTTTCCAAGAAGAGCCACCGATAAATCCTTGTTTGTCATTGTCGTTTTGGATACCCCGGCATCCCATCGAGCATGAGACCCAATACTATAGGAGCCTAAACAATTGCTTATACTATTTTGGGGGTTCCTTATTATATTTATAGTGCAATGCCCCCAAACCCCACTCTCACTTTTCAGGCCCCTATATTGCCTAAAAGGGCGTTAGAGCCTGGGGCTTGGAGAACATTCTGAACCAACGCACGCCAGATGGGGGTTGCCCTAAATTCTGGCAACCTCTCATATAGAGACCTGCTTGCAGTATCTCTGTCACAGAATAGTATAGAGTCAGAGCCCTGAACCCAACCATGCAACCCTGACCCACAAACCCGAAGCTCTAGACTCAAACCTTCAATCCAAAACCGAGACCGTAAGCGTCAGAGCCGAACCAGCCTTCCCATTGCAACTCGCACCGAATTCGAAGCGTCTGAGGGACCTTGCAGGCAAGATCAGGCAAGCCATGGATTGACCGCCCCAGGTTTGCGGGCATTCGGGTGAGTTTGTAATACATAATACAGGGGCCTCAATAATTACCTTTTCTATTTTGGTGGCTCCTTAAATGCTTATAGTAGAATGGGCCCCAAAACCCTGTTCTAATTATTAAGCCCCCTATACTATGGCTCTCCGTTCAGGATTCGAGGATTGGGTGAAGGCTTTGGGTCTCAATTAGTCGGAGTGAGGGTCTGTGAAGCCTTAAACTATGGTTGGGGAAGTATGAAAAATCGACATGTTTATTCCGTATTGGGTTTAAGTACCCATTAACACGTAAAATGTTACCCAACTCTGACAAAGCAAAAGGGGTTTCTGTTTACGGGTCCATCCCTGGGACGGAACAGTTACACTTTACTCTGCAATAGTGGTTGCTGGTTCCAGATTCGTGTGTAGTGGACACCTGCCAAAAATGTCGAGTTGTACTCAGTATGGCCACTATACTATGGGAGTCAGAAGGTTGATGTCAATCCGTGCGCACCCCTCGGACGCAGCGATTTTGTCGCCTCACTTTGGAAGCGTGTCGTGGATAATTGGCTTGGGCCCGAAACCCGGAGTCTGAATCGCGCGGGCCAACTTCTCACCAGCTTCAAGCAGCATTGGCGGCACCGACCTAAGGTTGTATTACCTGCTCAGCATCATCTTGTACATGTTCCAAAAAGGACCCCGGGTTTGGAGCCTGGGGCAGTCTAGAAGCCCCTTTCTGCTTCCACGAGCTCCGTTTAGCTGACTAGTCTTTGCTGCTTTGGCACGCATGCGAAAAAGGAGTGCTCGGGTGAATTCCTTCACTCCGGTCAGTCTTGTATCATCAGCTTGTAGGCAACGCTCTTATCTCATCTTCCTGATGGCATCACTGGCAGTAGTCAGCAGTCGCCGTCAGCCATTGTCGACAGAAGCGAGGCGGTTGTGGTAGGAGGAGGGGTGCTGGCATTGGTCCAAAACTTTGTCGTGAAGCCTGTACAGATCTTGCCCTTCTTACACTGCTTTCCACTGCTGTTGCTGTAGTTGTTACTCCAATTGACACGTGCCAGTCTGTTGCTTCGGTCAATACCGCAGGTTGTTTAGCGTGTGCATGTTTAGTCCTTTTCGGTCGGCGATGAGGCAGGCTTGGTTTTGCTTATCAGCGTATACTTTCGCCGTGTCACAGCCAGACATGCCCGCAGTTCAAAACCAAACTAAACCCTCGTAATCACTCCTGGTCCAAATCCACGAGCCTTTCTAGTTGCCGTCACTGCCGTCGTGGAAATCGTTTCCAGGCATGCCCTTCATGGTGCTTCGTCAATGGGGCTGCGCGATTCTTATAAGCTTGTCAAGATGCTTCCATGGCTAGGGTTTCGAGCATGCTTGCCCTGAGGGTCTAGGGCTTTAGAGTTTCGGGCAGCTCACGCGACGTTCGATCCGGTCTGGTTTGTAGACCCAGCTGCCACGCAGCCACAATGGCGCGGAGGATATGGACATGCAAGACATCAACAGGCCGTTTTTACATCTCAACTCCCCAAAACCGTAAACACTCCAGGCCCTGAGCCCTCAAAGCCCAAAAAGCTAGGAGCCTCAAACCGTGGAAACCCTAAGCCCTGCAATGCGCGCTCGTCCTTGCTAGGCCCCAACCCTAGACTTAAACCTCACAGCCTGAACCCTAAACCCCGAAGCTCAAACCGTCAAACAAACACTGAAGACCCTCAACCTCGAAGCCTGAACCCCAAAGCCTGAATTCCCAAACCTCAAACAAAACTTAAGACCAAAAGCCCTAATCCCTAAAACCCTGAACCCCAAAACCCTAAAAACCTAAACCCCGAAACCCCAACGGCCCTAAACCCCATACCCTAAAACCCTAAATTCCTAGATCCCTAAACCCCAAAACCCTAAAACCCTAATGTCCTATGCCCCAAAACCCTATACCCTAGAATACCCTAAATCCCCTAAACCCTAAACCCTAAACCCTAAACCCTAAACCCTAAACCCTAAACCCTAAACCCTAAATCCCTGAACCTCGAAGCCTCTCGTCATGGCTAGCGGCTGACGATGCGCGCCGGATGGTGCCTCTCGGGAGTCGATACCGGGCTAAAGTTTGCCATACGGTTGATGATATAAATCCCTAGGGTTCCTTTAAAGGGATCTATAGGGGTACCTTCAAGGGGCTCCTTTAAGGGATCTATAGGGTTTTAGGGTTTAGGGTTGATGATATAAATCCTGCATTACCTGAAGGACCCTAGACTGGGAATTATGGCATATTCCTGATTATGGGTAATGCAGGGCTTATATCATCAACCGTAGTTGGGGTTTATTGTTTAATGTAGGGGCCTTCATAGTTACCTATACTATTTTCGGGGGGCTCCCTATCGCAATTATAGTATAATGGGCTGCAAGACCCTATTCTAATTATTGAGGCCCCTACATTAGAATGCTAATATTACCAATAATACTCATAATTCTCATAGTACGCGCAATGCTAATAATGCCCATAATCGTACCCTTTATAGTGCAGAAACCCTTACAGTAAGGTTTTGGAATGTGTAAACCCCTAGAGCTTAAAAGCCCTCTTTTAGCCTCTTGCTTTGTGTTGAAGGTGTAGGGTTTCGGGTTTGGGGTTTAGGGTTGGCGGCAAAGAGTTCAGGGTTTGGGGCTTAGGATTGAGGGTTTGCGGTTTGGGTGTAGGGGCTTTGTAGCAATCCTTAGCTTTACGTCACTACTGGTTTATGCTGCTAGCATGGCGTACGTGACTTGATTACCTTAGGGGCTGGTTAGGTAACTTTAAAAATTAGTACCCTCAACAGGTTGACTATTTTTGGGGCTGGTGTACTCCACCCCAAGATCCTCTGAAAATCTCCCTACCCCCTAGGACGGTTTATAGGATCCCGCATAGTCTGTGATGTGTGCGTTCCTTTTGCCGATCTTGGTGGGGTCTTTGGTTTATCTGGCATCACAACGGTTCTGGGTTGGCTGTCCGTTTCATAAGTCCTCCATGGTGGGAAGCTTCCAGACAGGACGCGGGCTTGTCAAATTCTGCGGGCTGCTGGATATCTACGATAGGGGCCTTCATAATTACCTATACTGTTTTTGGGGGTTCCTGCTTATAACTGTAGTATAATATGTTAGCCGGGGCAAGCATGACAAGATCAGGTAAGAAGCATGACGTCCACCTATCGGCCAAAGTCGAAAGTATGACGTAAAAACCCCTAGCTGGTAGAGCATGCTGTTAACAACGCTGCCGGTTGCGTGTCATGACGATTGTTAAGACGGCGGCATGACGATTGTTCAGATGACGGCTTTGGTGGTGGTGATGATGGCGCTCATGGCCGTGGCAATGGTTCCATGTTCGTGGTGGCTGCCTCTGCAAGGAGGAAGATAGAGATGAATATGCAGTCACACCCTAAACCCTAACCCGAAAACCCTAAACCCCCAAACCATATGCCTCGCCTGGATTGTCCGAGTGTGAGCGCCGAAACCCCAAAGCCCCTAAACCCTAGAACCCTAAAGCCTTAAACCCCAAAAGCCCCTACACCCCTAGAGCCCTAAACCCCTAAAGCCCCTAAGCCCTTAAGCCCCTAAAACCCCCAAAGTCCCTAAACAGTCACGAGCTTCTCCGACGTTCTGCAGCCTTTGGGCTCCCACTTTTAATTTTCAAAGAGGGCGCAAGACTGGTCCGATGATGGCTTCCTGGCTCGACATGCTTCTGAGGTCTAGGGATGCGGTAAACCCAGGGACTCCAAATCCCTTAATGAATCGTAATTATCAGGGATCCTACTACAATTTCAGGTAGATCCCTTAATTAAGGGGTCTTGGGGCCTCTGGGAATTATGCGTCCTGGCTCGACATGCTTGTGATCTCGATATGCAGTACTTTGTGAATGGAGGGTCTCGGGGTTCAGGGTTCCAGGCGCTTGAGGCTAAGGTGTGGGGATTCTTTAGCGGTCTTTTGAGGTTCAGGGGGTTTTGTTTATCAGGCTCTGTTCTTGAGGTTAGTGTTTTTCAGGGTCTTCCAGGTCTTGCGGTCTAGGTTGAGGCGTTTCGGGCCGGCTTTCGTAGGCCGTCTGGGCCAAGCCGTCTCATGAGGGAGTTCTTTTTGTCTGCTTTGTTCTGGGAAGCTCCCAAACCCGAAGCCTTCTGTGATCGCACCCAACGAGCCCTCGGCCCCGGGTCCGAAGCCTGGACGTGCGGGTGCTGAATCGGGGGAGAGGTCGAGTTGTGCAAGCTGTAGCCGCCTGTTTCTTTCTTTACCAATGCTACTCCTTCGGGTCCTTCTTATCACATACGAAAACATTGACCAAAGAACTGTTCTAATTTCCATCAGTCACTAGTCAGGCCCCTATCA